GATTGAAGATGATGATGGTGGGATTGAGGATGATGATGGTGGAATTTAGGATGATGATGGTAGGATTGAAGATGATGATGGTGGGATTGAAAATAAGGTGGGATTGAGGATGATGATGGTGGGATTGAAGATGATGATGGTGGGATTGAGGATGATAATGGTGGAATTGAAGATGATGATGGTGGGATTGAAGATGATGATGGTGGGATTGAAAATGATGATGGTGGGATTGAGGATGATGATGGTGGAATTTAGGATGATGATGGTGGGATAGAGGATGATGATGGTGGGATTGAAGATGATGATGGTGGGATTGAGGATGATGATGGTGGAATTTAGGATGATGATGGTAGGATTGAAGATGATGATGGTGGGATTGATGATGATGGTGGGATTGAGGATGATAATCGTGGCATTGAAGATGATGGTGGGATTGAACATGATGATGGTGGGATTGAGGATGATAATGGTGGAATTGAGGATGATGGTGGGATTGAAGATGATGGTGGGATTGAGGATGATGATGGTGGGATTGAGGATGATGATGGTGGGATTGAAGATGATGATGGTGGGATTGAAAATGATGATGGTGGGATTGAAGATGATGATGGTGGGATTGAGGATGATAATGGTGGGATTGAGGATGATAATGGTGGGATTGAGGATGATGATGGTGGGATTGAAGATGATGGTGGGATTGAAGATGATGATGGTGGGATTGAGGATGATAATGGTGGACTTGAGGATGATGATGGTGGGATTGAAGATGATGGTGGGATTGAGGATGATGATGGTGGGATTGAGGATGATGATGGTGGGATTGAGGATGATGATGGTGGGATTGAAGATAAGGTGGGATTGAGGATGATGATGGTGGGATTGAAGATGATGATGGTGGGATTGAGGATGATAATGGTGGAATTGAGGATGATGATGGTGGGATTGAAGATGATGATTGTGGGATTGAGGATGATGATGGTAAAATTGAGGATGATGATGGTGGAATTGAGGATGATGATGGTGGGATTGAAGATGATGATGGTGGGATTGAAGATGATGGTGGGATTGAAGATGATGATGGTGGGATTGAGGATGATAATGGTGGGATTGAGGATGATGATGGTGGGATTGATGATGATGGTGGGATTGAGGATGATAATGGTGGGATTGAAGATGATGGTGGGATTGAACATGATGGTGGGATTGAGGATGATAATGGTGGAATTGAGGATGATGGTGGGATTGAAGATGATGATGGTGGGATTGAGGATGATGATGGTGGGATTGAGGATGATGATGGTGGGATTGAAGATGATGATGGTGGGATTGAAGATGATGATGGTGGGATTGAAGATGATGATGGTGGGATTGAGGATGATAATGGTGGGATTGAGGATAATGGTGGGATTGAGGATGATGATGGTGGGATTGAAGATGATGGTGGGATTGAAGATGATGATGATGGGATTGAGGATGATAATGGTGGACTTGAGGATGATGATGGTGGGATTGAAGATGATGGTGGTGGGATTGAAGATGATGATGGTGGGATTGAGGATGATGGTGAGATTGAAGATGATGATGGTGGGATTGAAGATGATGATGGTGGGATTGAGGATGATAATGGTGGACTTGAGGATGATGATGGTGGGATTGAGGATGATGATGGTGGGATTGAAGATGATGGTGGGATTGAGGATGATGATGGTGGAATTGAGGATGATAATGGTGGAATTGAGGATGATGATGGTGGGATTGAGGATGATGGTGAGATTGAAGATGATGGTGGGATTGAAGATGATGGTGGGATTGAAGATGATGATGGTGGGATTGAGGATGGTAATGGTGGAATTGATGATGATGGTGGGATTGAAGATGATGGTGGGATTGAGGATGATGGTGAAATTGAGGATGATGGTGGGATTGAAGATGATAGTGGGTTTGAGGATGATAATGGTGGGATTGAGGATGATGATGGTAGGATTGAAGATGATGATGATGGTGGAATTGAGGATGATGATGGTGGAATTAAGGATGATGATGGTGGGATTGAGGATGATAATGGTGGAATTGAGGATGATGGTGGGATTGAAGATGATGATGGTGGGATTGAGGATGATGCTGGTGGGATTGAAGATGATAGTGGGATTGAAGATGATGATGGTGGGATTGAAGATGATAGTGGGATTGATGGCGATCATGATGGGATTGATGGCGGTGATGATGGGATTGATGGCGATGTTTTTTTCCCATCATTATTTAGTTTTGTTCTCTTTAGCTCTCATTCTGCCACGAGGTGATTTAACGGCTTCTCTTCACGTAGTACTACTACTGCGGTGTATTTGATTCCACTCGCAGTCTCAGGACTCAACTTCAAGCTACTACCAAGTGTTCGCGGTAGAGGGCGATGTTGGTGCTGCTATGTGATCCCAATCGACTCATTTGCGAACCATTTTTCATATTTGGGATGTTTGGCCAGAAATTCCACATTCTTATGGGGGGAGGGGGGCGATTCTTTCCATAAGACAACCACTGTTGGGTTCTACACAGTGGTGTTCATTTTACCGACCCCGGCAGGATGATGCATGGTCTGAGTTGACCACCGACTTGGATTTGAACTAGCACCCTTCCGATTGCGAATCATGAGAACTTTCGATTTTCACGTTTTTACCACGAAGGAAGGTGCTGCCGTGTTTCAGTCTGCAGTGGTTTCCTAGTTGTGGGCGGTTGCTCTGGGTTTTTTTCGTTCTCAAATTATTGATCTGGAGTGTCATTTAAAAAAAATTGAATCTGCTAACGTCCACTATGAACACGCACGGTGCATAGTGTTATAGTGTTTAGGCTTTCGCGACCAATATTCATGATAAAAGTTATTTTGGGTTAGATCACGTAAATATAAATGTGTCGTTAACCCACCACCCGACACAGCCAATCAGTAAGCTGTCACATGGACAAAAAACGTGCCAATTAGTTACTACTTCAGCCCCGGCGGACCTAACAGTCAGAGACGATGTGTACCATTGGTCTCCTGCTCCCTGCATTCATAGCAGGCTGTCACGGAGTAGTATGCCCCATCGATGTTTGGAAGCGGCACACATCCCCTGGTCACACCAAAAGCGGTTGAAGTGAACTCGGAATAACGCTGGCAGACAGAGTAGAACGCAGACATTCGGCATAAACAGTTCAAGACTCATCACACCTTCTGGCTTTGCGCGTCTCTCCATAAATGGAAAATGAAAGACGAGCCGAGCACGTGCGATTGTGGCCGTGCGACCAAATCTATGGACCGTATAGTCGGCCGCTGTTAATCTCCGCTCCATGAATGGAGGAATATCAAATCTACACGAACTCTCTCCCGAAGCCCTCTCGTGGATAGAACATCTAGACATAGGAATTTAGCTCCTGAACATATCGCCGTACATAACGATAGAACTGCATAAATGTAGTAACACAAACATGTGTATTCCACGTTCAAAAGCTCCTCAGCCTTATCCAGACCACAAGCATGTTGTGTACACCAACTCAAAAAGTCGAGAAAATGTGGCGAACAGGGAACGTGGCGATCCCAACAGTTGCCCAAATGTTAACTACCTCACCTGGAATACAGGGGGCCGTGGGCTCATTCCCGACCCTCACGTGTTTGGAGTTTGCATGTTCTCCCCGTGGTCACGTGGATTTTTGAGATTTGGCTGCAATACATTTCCACATAAGCCACCTCGTTGAGCTATCATTTATAGCCAGGTCACTTCTGAAAGAGAGCTATATAGCTCAGTGGGCCTTACCTGGTAAAATACAAAGTTTCGTTTCAACTCTTTGAGTCAGTGGTCTTCGCTACAAAATGGCCACGCATTTTCTGTTGAGCTGGTTGTATGGATAAGGCCGATAGCCATAAGGTTTTTTTGGGTTAGATCAAGTAAACATACATTTGTCATTAAAGTAAGGTTTGTCACGTAAACAAAACGTGGCAATTTGTTGCTAGTTCAGCACACCGGTGTTGGAGAGTAAACCCACTACATTTACAATTTGAGTACCGTGACATTTCGACAGTAATTACAACTAGCATCATCAGGCGAGAGCCAGAGTTGTTTAACGAAACATTTATATCTACGCGACCGAACCAAAAAACCTCTTATGGATATTGGTCGTGAAAGCTTACATGTTAATAAGGCCGATTGCGTTTGTAATGCAATGTGCTGCACACCTCTGTTGTTAAATGTTCTTGGCAGCACTCCGTGCTTGTTGCCATCGGTTTTCTTGTCATTTACAGGTTTTAACTCTCTGCAGTTGGGGACGTCTCTGCACTTCTGATGTGCAAGATGCAGCGGTGATCTGCAGAGCTCTTCACCACGAGGACTGGCAATGCCAGCTCCCAGCAACCTGCACTGCCTTCCAATGGCTCGAGTCAAATTTTCTCGCTCTCACACACGCAGTCCTAAATGACTTGCTGAACCCTCAACCTCAAACATCACCTCGGGCCCTATGTTCAGTTTTTAATTTACAGCCCTTTTTTCAACCCACTGCTGGATGAAGGCCTCTCCACGCCATGCCGGTTGTGTTGGGTTGAAGCGAAAGGGTGCAGTAACCGGCCTTGATAAATAATTGAACTCTGGTTGCCGGGGTTCGTAGTGCATGCGCAAACCATTGTGCCACCACCCGACTCCACCTCAAGTCCTTATGTAGCACCACGGACTCTTGAGATCCTCTTGAATGGTAATCATCTCAAGTCCCCAGACGCTTTCTCCAGAGCGCCGGGGGCACGTGTGCCTCCTTAGTTGAGAGAGCCAGGATTGTGCAACTTCCTGCCAGTTGTGATGAATATATTACTCAAACCAAAGGCAGACTTTTTGGAAGCAATGCAAGGCCGTTCTGTTAGCCCGCATTTGAAATTGAGAAGGTGCTTGTCTGGTGCGCATGAGAGTATTTTTAAGGTTCTCTGCGCGACCACAATGAAGGCAAAATATTCCCGAAAAAGAACAGAAATGCATAACTCGTGTTAACCATTTTGTTACAGTATGTACATTTATTATTAAAAAGGCCTTACAAAGTGCAATTAAGCTGTGAAAGATAGCCCACATTTGCCCGATTTTAAACCACAAAACCCATCTAGAAACCGTGTATCAGAAGTTCCAAGCTAAGGGCGGAGGATAAATATGGGAGCATTGTTCAGCATGTTCAGCGCCTCTGCCATCCTCAACTCATACCAAAAATGTACTTTAAAAAAACAACTCATCCAATTAAATCTCACATCTAAACAGAAAAATACTAATAATGATCACCTCTACATTGATGTGGCGCTTGCTGGCATGGTCCAGCAACGCGAAGTGCCTGACATCACATTCCATCTCAAACATTTGAAAGGGAACCCCCAGTGGCAGCTGCCCGTGTGTGGCAGGTAACTCATTACCGGACTGGCCACCCCCCCTCCACTGAAATTAGTCTGCTAGTTGAGGGTGATTGTGCGCTGTCATAATTCCAATTTCGTAATTTGTGGATAAATTAGCTAATTTTAACCACGATGGCAGTACACAGTGGCCCTGCTCTCTTCGAATGACATCAGATTTATTAAATGGTCCACTGTTTACACACCAGCCATATTCACCAGGGCGTCCTGTCGGGTTGGGACCACGAAACCTCTGCAACAAGGGAGAAAACATGCTATAGATGTGTTGTCATGGTTTTGCCACTAAGTCAACCATTTCTGCTTTCGTGAATTTTCAGGTGGAAATTGGCACGAGTCCTCTCTAGTTCTTCCTTAGTGGCCAGCCCAATAATTATTCAAATGTATTATCCTAATCTATGCCCTGTGTTGTTTGAAATATTCCTTCCTTTTCACCGATGTAGACCTAACACCTGTGCCACTGTCTTAATTGCAGCCATTTTAAATCCTTCCCATAGCATTTCCGGTTCTGAGTCGAGTTCTGCCAAGTGCTGGTTTGATTTCCATCACTAGTGTTGCCAATCTGAATTGCGTCGCCCTTTGGGGATCATCAACTCCACTGTTTGAGTGTCCGCGTGCATCTCGCGCTGGTTTACCTGCAAATTCCTCACCGCACTCACAACTTGCTTGCCATCTCAACTAATTTCCCCAGCCCTGCATACCTTAATCTTGAAAACTTTTTCCTCCGTACCCTTTTTGTGGCTATCACACATGGCCTGTCAGCGGCCTTAGCGTTATAGACCGGCGATGGTCACCGCCCGACTCCGGTTCCATTTTCAGAGTTAACCTTTATATGGTACTGTGCCAGCTCCTCAGCGGAAATTACATCTGGGGCACCGCTCATAAGGTCGTGACCGCGAAAGGATTTGGGAAAGGCGATGACATCTCTAATGCTGGCAGATCCCACGACGGTGGCCACCAGTCGATCGAGACCTGGGACGGAGACACGGGTAGTCGTTACTCAACACGGTTGGAAACAAATTGCACGCACCAAAGCAAGCGCGGCCGAGCGGACTGCATAAAAAAACATTGCTGTGATTAAAGCACGTGCGTTAACCTTCCAAATCTCCAATAAAGAAGTGCAATGTGTGTCAATACTGAATGCAAGTGGTTCGGTCCGTAATTGCAGGGTGTTTTGGATGCAGAACCCATTCTTCCTTAACGATGCTATTCCAACCACGACACATTTACACCTGCAGACGGGTCAGCTTATGGACGCGTGCCAGCACCACGCTTCTGGTGCACGCGCCTCACGGTTGCCAATTGAGGCGATCACTTCCTGCACCACATGGTGGCCAATCAGGGGTGCCCAGAGCTAAGGTCACATACTGTGGAATCCCTTCTTGCAATTGTCGCTGCATATTTTATATACGAGGAGATTAAATAAACTCACTGAGATGCACAAAACACCTTTGCCTCGAATGCAAGGGCGACCTGGGAGCACGCGCACGACACTCTGGGAGACCTGTACATTATCATTCCCTCCGCTCTCTTGTCAATTCGTTGGGATCATTGTCACCCTTGGGTTTGCTGTCACCAGGCAAGCAGCTCTCCGCTTATGAGGAGAGACAACGGGTAGACTGTGCTGTGACGAGCAAACGAGCGGCGCCGTGACCGGACAGATGGCTCAGCGCCACAGTGAGCGGCACGCAATCGGAAGATTGCGGAGTTCAATTCCTGGTCAGGGATTGAATCCGGCCAATCATCGCTCCGTGGTAGATAAAATAACTACCGCGGTGCTTGCCTTCATGGATAGACTCGACCCCCACCACTGGAATATGGAATTTCCACCAACGGCTCGGGAGCTGTAAATAGGAGATTCCTCAATGCCCACAAGAGCAGGACATGGCTGCGACCTCTCTGACGGGGCACGTCTGCTCCGCACACGCTGCTCTGCACAACGGGTTTCTCCGGTTTCCCTGTCACGACTAAAACCCCCACAACAATGTAACTGCCGTTGGCCAAACATCCCCATGCGGAACAACGACCTGAGAGTTACTCATTTAGGATTACCTGTCGCAACGTCGCCCCCCCTGGTGCGAAAACTTGGCAGGTATTCTGAATATTCCTCTCGGGACTCAGTGACACTTTCCGTGGTAAAACAAGCATTCTGTATAGTTGTACAGTCGTCCCTCGGTTCATGCGACGACTTGATTTGTTTGGCTGCCGTCAGCCGAAGGTGGATGTACGACGGCGTTGGGCAGGGAGGTACATGACGCCATCCCCACCCTTCACCCCCCCTCCAATCATACGGTACGCCAGATGGGGGGCTGCATGCGAGCGAACGCGACGTTCCGCGTCGTCCCGGCACACGGAGCTTACCCAAGGCGATGCCGCCGTGAGGCGGCGCTCCGGACTCCAACGCCTCCAGCAGGTGCCCGAGCAGCTCCACGTCCTCCTGCGCTCGACCACACGGCAACACAGTGGCGCAGCCACAGCAGTCACACTCACACAGCCACAGCGGTCACACTCACACAGCCACAGCAGTCACACACACACAGTCACAGCAGTTACACTCACACAGCCACAGCAGTCACACTCACACAGCAACAGCAGTCACACTCACACAGCTACAGCAGTCACACACAGCCACAGCAGTCACACACAGCTACAGCAGTCACACACAGCCACAGCAGTCACACTCACACAGCCACAGCGGTCACACACAGCCACATCAGTCACGCTCACACAGCCACAGCGGTCACACTCACACAGCCACAGCAGTCACACTCACACAGCCACAGCAGTCACACTCACACAGCCACAGCAGTCACACTCACACAGCCACAGCAGTCACACTCACACAGCCACAGCAGTCACACTCACACAGCCACAGCAGTCACACTCACACAGCAACAGCAGTCACACTCACACAGCCACAGCAGTCACACTCACACAGCCACAGCAGTCACGCTCACACAGCAACAGCAGTCACACTCACAGAGCCACAGCAGTCACACTCACACAGCCACAGCAGTCACACTCACACAGCCACAGCAGTCACGCTCACACAGCCACAGCAGTCACGCTCACACAGCCACAGCAGTCACACTCACAGAGCCACAGCAGTCACACTCACACAGCTACAGCAGTCACACTCACACAGCCACAGCAGTCACACTCACACAGCAACAGCAGTCACACTCACAGAGCCACAGCAGTCACACTCACACAGCCACAGCAGTCACACTCACACAGCCACAGCAGTCACGCTCACACAGCCACAGCAGTCACGCTCACACAGCCACAGCAGTCACACTCACAGAGCCACAGCAGTCACACTCACACAGCTACAGCAGTCACACTCACACAGCCACAGCAGTCGTGCTCACACAGCTACAGCAGTCACACTCACACAGCCACAGCAGTCACACTCACACAGACACAGCAGTCGTGCTCACAGAGCCACAGCAGTCGTGCTCACACAGCCACAGCAGTCACACACACACAGCTACAGCAGTCACACTCACACAGCTACAGCAGTCGTGCTCACACAGCCACAGCAGTCACACTCACACAGCCACAGCAGTCACGCTCACACAGCCACAGCAGTCACACTGACACAGCTACAGCAGTCGTGTTCACACAGCCACAGCAGTCACACTCACACAGCCACAGCAGTCACACTCACACAGCTACAGCAGTCACGCTCACACAGCCACAGCAGTCGTGCTCACAGCTACAGCAGTCACACTCACACAGCCACAGCAGTCACACTCACACAGCTACAGCAGTCACACTCACACAGCCACAGCAGTCACACTCACACAGCCACAGCAGTTACTCTCACACAGCCACAGCAGTCACGCTCACACAGCTACAGCAGTCACGCTCACACAGCCACAGCAGTCACGCTCACACAGCCACAGCAGTCACGCTCACACAGCCACAGCAGTCACACTCACACAGCAGTTACACTCACACAGCCACAGCAGTCGTGCTCACACAGCCACAGCAGTCACGCTCACACAGCCACAGAAGTCACACTCAAACAGCAACAGCAGTCACGCTCACACAGCAACAGCAGTCACACTCACACAGCTACAGCAGTCACGCTCACACAGCCACAGCAGTCACACTCACACAGCAACAGCAGTCACGCTCACACAGCCACAGCAGTCACACTCACACAGCTACAGCAGTCACACTCACACAGCCACAGCAGTCACACTCACACAGCAGTCACGCTCACACAGCCACAGCAGTCACACTCACACACTCACAGCAGTCACACTCACACAGCCACAGCAGGCGTGCTCACACTCCCAATATAGGACCAGAGAGCATGGGAAATAGTTCGTGGGTTCTGGTTGCCTTCCTTGTCTGTGGTTTCCTATGCTTTTGTATGAAAACCGTATTTTGACATTAAATTTTAATGAATGACATCAGAGGATATGCAAATAAGATTATTGTAATTAATGGAATTACATTTAATGGTAACGGTCATCACAATGCATGCGCTTCACGTCAAAAACGCCTTCACACCCATGGCAGTGTGTGGTAAACACAGCCATAGAATCCGGCACGGCCCACCCACAGGCAGAATCTGGAGCCAAAACACAAAGTGGGCGTGCCGCGATGACGTTGGCTTTGAGTTGAGTCCCTGCCGCACTGCGTGCCAGCCCGCGCACTGCGCATGGAACAGCCCCGTCAGGAGATGCAAGCCTCCAGGCCGGCTCGCAGGAACGAGAAGCGCGCGAGGCGAGGGTGCTCGCACCGCGACGCTGGAACAAGCGGCACCGGTGAGAGCATTTTATCGGAATGCCTTTTGTGCCGGACCACGCGGCAGCGCGCCGCACGTCGTTCCCCTGATCAGAGCTCCCGGCCGTCGGACCCCGCATTTCTCACTGCACCATGGTGCACAGGGCCACGGATCATTGTATCCGTATCAGAGGCCGCTGTACGTCCCTGCTCACGCAGCACGGGGCCCTCCAGGTGGCGGAGCCGTGCGAGTAGCCCGCGGTGGAGTGATTCCCACGGCAGAAGCGGAAAACAAAAGCACGCGGCGGTTTGCCATCGATACCACCGAACCTCATCACCGACGCGTTCCATGCTCCGCCAGATTCATCAGCTGCTGCGCAAGATGGCACGTGACCTCCCTGACCTGCCCTGAGTCTCCCACCATCCGATCTTAGGTTTTCCCCTACGACTTGCGGAGACCGCTCTAACAGTTGACGTAAGAATAAGCCTTTCCGTTCACGTGCACGCGCCTGACCCAGCGCAATCGTATCGACAGCACTCGCCAACCACGTTCACCTTGCAGACGTCCGCATTGCTTAATCGCATCTTTCCAATACACTTCCAGTCTCAAAATACCTGGGCTCAAATGCCAACAACTCTTTTTCGGATCCAGATCCTCAAAGCATAAAGTAACAAATAAAGCAAGCACTTCTGCAGCATTCAGTAAGTGTATAAATGTGGCAAGCCCACTCCTGTACTTAGATGAATACTAACAGCAGTAGGTACCAAAATTGCTCATTTCAGACAGTTAAAAGGGGGCACATGAAGGCCCGGCCGTGCCCTGCATGATACTCCCATTCTGGGTCCAACCTTGAGCACGTCGTGCAGGACGTGCTTCTGCAGAGCGGCGTCGTGGATGCGGATGGAGCCTCCGCCGATTTCGCTGCCGTTCAGCACCAGGTCATAGTGCTGACCTCTCACCTGCAATGGCAGAAATCGCACCGTAGCCATGCCATCAGTCGCACAACGAAATCAATATATCGATGGGACCTTTTTTCCAGTATCAAGAATGATGCTGGCAAAAAGGTCCCAGCTCAACCCGAGCTAAAAATGCTCCGATACCTTGCAGTCTCTGTACTGTTCGCCGTTTGGTGTTCTCTGGTCTAACACTGGTGACACTAGGCGATAACGAAGGCTCTCTGGTGTAGCTCAATCAGTTTCAAAGACAATGCATATATTTTCACATTTGTTTGCATGTTTTGCCACAAATGTGTGGTTAATGCAGACTTGATGCCTGACAAAATGTTTCTATTTGGTGTTTAAACATGTTACGACAACTCCTGTCTTATTGCCAGAAAGGGTAAAATCTAGGAATCAATGTAGAGCTTAACACATAATAATCGTGCCCATTATAAATATCGATGCGTTCTATATCGTGTAATTTGTCTCATATGTCCTGTCTCGCTCATTCCCGCTTGGCGGAGCGGCGACGTGGTGGTCCGGCGGTAGCACTGCATTCACCACTCGTCGCACAGGTTCAACGCTTAGAACCCACCAGCCACGCCCCCGATTATTCCTGCGGCGTGAAGTAGTCACCGTACAAATACTACGCCGCCACCTGCTTCTCAGCGGACGTTAAAAGATCCCCTCACGTTGTTTGCAAGGGGGGAGCCCATCGAGTGCCGGGGTCTGGGGTCCAAATTTTCCAAGTAAAAATAATTAAACTGCACAATTACCCAGTTGCTCAATTGTGATGGCACACACGGCAGCAGCGACCATCACCTCCTACCAGTAGCAGACCCACACCCCCAGCTTGCTCGTGCAAATGAGACGCATCCTGGTGTATCAAAATAAAGTTGAACTTGTACCATTAGTCTGAAGGTAATGCCTGCATGTTACTTTGTGGTGAGGTGAGGGAAATTTCTCAGATGAATCCTAATTACGGTGTTATGACACTGGTGATGTCATAGTCGTCGAACTGAACATGCAGTCCCTCTGCACACGCAATATTTATCAGACGCCGTTGACATCCGTTCTGACAGAGCTGCGTCCCAGCCAATGCGTTCATCACGCTTGATTCATTCATTGATTCACGATTCTTATGCTCGTAATACGACCATTGAATCGTGCGTCGAATAATTAAATAATCTAGGGCAACAGGCTGGCGGCGTAGTGATGACACTCAAGCCGCACAAGAAGCACGGCCTGGGTTCGATTCCCGACTCGAATGCCCCTCTGTGTGGAGCGTGTATTCTCTCTCTCTCTCCCCCTGTTCTGTGTGGAGCGTGTATTCTCTCTTTCTCTCTGTTCTGAATTAATTTCAAAACACGGAGTTTTCCAGTTTCTTCCCATAGCTTAAAAAAAACACAAACACTGTGACTGGTATTGGTGAAAAAACATCTCAATACTAAAAAGTTACCTGCAAGTAATTCAGCTAGGAATGTACACAGTAGCAACATCGCCCCCTAGTGTGTAAACTTGGCAGCAGAAGCCTCCTGAAGCAAGAGTCTTGAGACTCAGTGAGGCTTTCCTGGGTTAATGGTATTTTACAAAAATACATTGAATAATACGTGGGTGTGCTTTGCAGAGGCTGGGACGTACATCCTGAGGCCTGGCGTAAATGAGGTCTGCGTCGTCTGGGTGTGGAGCTGTGAACGGGTGGTGAGCAGACTCCAGCGAGCCGCTGCTGCTATCTTCCTCTCGTGGCAGGAAGAGAGGGAAATCCACAACCCACAGGAAGCGCAAGTCCTTGGGGTTACGCAGCACTTGCCCCTTCGCTTCCAAGACGTTGGCACATTTCAGCCGCAGCTGTCCCAGCGCCAAACACTGCCGGGAGACGGAGACCAGAACGAGGGGCATAAACATGAATGACTGTGTCAGGTGGTGGCAGGTTTAATGTGTCGTTAAATCCGGCACCACCCGACACAGCCAACCAATTAGTAAGGTTTGTCACGTAAACAAAACATGCCAATTAGTAACGTTTGTTTACGTGACAAACCTTACCAATTGGCTGTCGGGAAGTGGTGAGTGTAATGACACATTTCCATTTACGCGATCTAACACAAAAAACCCCTTACTAATTGGAATGTTTCGTTTAGTGACAAACTTTACTAATTGGCTGTGTCAGGTGGAAGCGTGTTTAACAACACATTTATATGTACACAATCGAACACAAAAAAACTTTTATGATGTATAATATTGGTCGCGAAAGCCTACTACGTGTTCATCTATTATTAGTCTAGCAGGCTTGGGTGTTTAGGCAAAGAGAACATAAAGCGGCTCGGGGAAATGAACATTCGTCATGAAAATAATTTGGTTGTGTTTGCTACGATTCCTCTTTGCTTCACGGCTATACTTAGTTGTCATGGTATTACTTTTGTCATTGGTGACCGACACGAGCCACACTTGTAAACTGAGACTATATCCTGCCCACTCGAGTTCTCACCCGGTTAAACAAAATATACTTGATACTTTATTTGTTGAAATATTGGTAAATACTGATATTCAAATATGATGAACAGACGCATCGGTTTTGTACCACGTGCAAATACTCAATTAAGAAATCTGCCAAACATTCAAATGGCCCTCTTGAAAAACCACTGTGACTCAGATAAATGTGAATGTCTACATCATAAGCGGCTGTTCAGTAAGTGCGCGAGTGAACTAGACCGCTCCACAAATCCCAATGACTGAGGAGTTATTCGAAATCTTGTGCTATTTATCAGAATATTTATTTATTCTGGAAGAATCCGATGAGCTATAAAGCTATTTCACAGATGTCCAGTGGGGGCGGGTAACAACGTTACAACAAACAATAAAAAAACACGAGAGTAGTGCAAAGTACAAGAAAGGTTAACAAATCACCGAAACACAAACAAATACAACACTAAACCATCCCCAAACTTTCCCGAATCTCCCCCATTAACACAACTGACGTGCTTTCGTCCAGGGATGGAATTCCTTTCCAGCTCAGACCCCGCTTGCTTGCCCATCGCCACATAAATAAGCACTTTTTGTAACAGCTCTCTCGCTGGTTCAGCAGTTGCACTGCTGGATTATTTTTTCCGCCTGAGGACGACCGCTTGTGTTGCGATCGAAACGTTGTGATATATATATTTTTGGTTTTATTTATCTTTACTCCTACCTACGTGACTTTACCGAAAGAACCAAAGAGTATGCATCCCCATACTACCAGGCAAAACTCTATGAGGTATTAACTTATTTTTGAGAAGTTAGAAAAGATCTTTGATGGATAATGCAACCAATTCGGCCAAATTATTAACAGCCCCTACGCTGCTCATCTGCTCTACCATTTACAATTACCTTGCACACGCAACACAAGCCCGCGTAAGAATTATACAACAGAAATGCGTGCATTCTGTCAGCATCAAGGAATTTACATTAAATGTTAAAACGATGAAATTGTGATGGAGAAATGTAAGGGCTAAATGAAGCTGAGCAGCGATTGTGGTCTCTAGGAGACACACGGTCAGTTGCTCACAAGCGGAGAGAGCGGGAGCTGGGGACCACCATCTCCGCCGCCTGGCTCAACACTGCCCCTGCAGCTTCACCGAAGAGCAAACCAGTCTCAATGCACTGAGTACGTCCACTCACTACAGCTGTCTAATTTAAACTAAAACACCCCACATCTCGTATGCAAGGTTTCACAACCACTTTTCTTTTGGGGGGGAGGGGGGCCTTGGCCGACACCCGTTAAATAAACCTGAGAACCTACTTTAACGTTGCATGGCTCCCCAAATTCAAACCGACAATCTCAGCAGCGCGGGCTCACTTGGCCATCGCCCCACCTCGGCCGAGGGCTTTTATAATCTTGGATTTAAATTCCAAACGTGCGGGTAAAGGCAGATCGCAACAGTCCAGCGCACGGTGGTTTGTCGCGTGGCACGAGATCATTTCCTACAGTTGCCAAACATTTTGATTCTACAGCTGGATTGTGCCAGACACGGCGAATACGTACCACAGAGTGTGTGTTTCCTGCAGCCACGATCACGACATCTCCTGGCTGAGCCCTGGTGAGTCGAGATATTTCCTCCTTCTCCGAACTCGATACAAACTTTGCCAAAGAAGACTTCCAAGTGCCGTCAGCGTTCACTGCTATCACATTCACCCTCTGCACAGACATGGGCATAAAAACCCAGAAAATAAAAATAATTCATTGCATGAGGATGATGATGATGTTCCAGAATGAGTTAGATTTCTTTTGTAAAGCACTTGTTTTTGCTCCAATTGTTACTTGGTTGTTTTTGCTTCGATTTTTATTCACTTCACAATTGTACTTGTGTTCACAATGTCTTTTATACTGGAAGAATCTGATGAGCTATAAAGCTCTTTTCCCAGACGTCCATTAGGGGCAGGTAAGAACGTTACAACAACAAAGAATACAATAACACGATAGGAGTGAAAAGTACAAGGTAAACAAATCACCCAAACACACACAAATACAACACTAAACCATCCCCATCCTACCAGATAAAGCCCACTGAGGTATCAACTTGTTTTTCAGAAGCGATCTGGCCACAAATGATAGCTCAACAAAGTCGGCCATCATTTGGACATTTATAGCACCTTGGTTGACCCAGGTCAGTCTTGCAAATTAAAACTCTATCCTGACACCTCGAATCCCCAGGTAATTAAACGAATTAACTTGAAATTTGAGGCATCGCACCTGATTGGCAGTGACGACATCACATTTATCCCTCTATTTAAGACCGAAACAGGAGGATTTCTCCACAACTCTGGCTGTCACCTTTGAGGCTGTCTTCTTGGTCTTCTGGTCCAACACCAGTGGAGACTAGGCTCTAAGAAAAGCCATCTCGGGTGTGGACCAATCAAATTCAAGGACAGTGCATATTATTATCAGAGTTGTCTCTTTTGTTTGCATTTTGACTGCTTGTGTTGTGGTTATTGCAAATATGATGCCTTGAATAAAGGTGTCAGTTTTTGTGCCAGTTAAAAGGGGTAAAACCTATTACTATTACTATGTGTTTTTTATTATTATTTTAATGTTTCCCTTCTACGTGACTTTACCGAAAGAACCAAGAAGATGAATCCCTGCAGTCACGAAAGCTTTAAATCGAAACTGATGAGGCTGGTTGTAATTACCGGGGAAATGCCACAGTACTCGAATTGTAAATTTACTCTCAAGCACACACAACCGGTGTGCTGAACTAGTAACGAATTGGCATGTTTTTTTGCGTAACGAACCTTACTAAATGGCTGTGTCAAGCGGTAGCAAGTTTAACGACATTTATACCTACGTGATCTAACCCAAAAAAAACCCTCTATTGTGGACCCATTGATGGCAGATGGCAAAAAAACATCCCAACATAGGACCACAGAGCTTGGGAAATTGGTGGCGCCGGTTCTGGCCGCCTTCCTGCCCGCCCGCCCGCCCGCGGTTTCCCATGCCCCCGTGTGAAACTGCGCGCATCACAAATTCAACGGAGTTTTGATCTACAGTTTGCATGACACCACCACCATATACAAATAAAACCCCACTAACGTAAACATTAACCTTCATGTGGATTCACACATCTCAGAGTGCCCAACTTCCCTTGCTCTTGTAATCCCGGTACACTATGAGCTGCAAGCAGAACCGATTCGGGCTTCTTAATTTTAACTGATTTGGCGGAGATGACATTTTATTGATGAAAATGCATTTACTTCAGTTTTGCTGTGAAGGAAGTGTTTTTACATTGTTTTTATAGCTTTATTTTGGTGATTTCGAAAATGTTTTGGTTTAGCCATATCTGTTTGTTGTAGTAGAGTTAGACTGTATAACTTTAATCTAAATTGTCTTATGGTTGTTATTGTTTGACATGCATCCCACTGGGATTTTTGCACACAGCATTGATATACGGTGTTTTTCCTGGAAGACTTTGCTGTTTTTTCCTGGATTTTTCTGTTGCGCGTAGTCACTTTAAGATGTTTCTTGTTCATGTTTTTGTTTGTTGCGGTTGCACCCGATTCAAGAGCCGAATGGCTCACAGGGCTATACCTAACAAATTCAACTAAAACTGAAAACTAAACTCAGGTACAGGTGTTGATGGCAAAATAAATGAACCTTTGTACTGGTCGCCTTTTGATGTTCTCTGGTCAAACACTGGTGAGACTAGGCCATAAAGAAGGCTGTCTCTGGTGTAGGCCGATCAGTTTCAAAGACAATGCAATTATATTATAAGAGCGTGTTTGTTTGCATGTTTTGTTGCCACAAGTACCGTGTTTGGTTCAAGCAGACTTGATGCCTTGCAACAGCGGTGTTTGAACATCTTAACACCTCCTGTTATATTGACAGAAAGGGTAAAAGCTATTCTCATTTTTCATCATGAATTAACCTTTTTGTTAGTACCTGGCCAAACTGGCTCTGCGCCGTATCCATGAACATTTCAAGATCTTTACGGTTCAGGAAATCCTGCAAAACAAACATGAAATACCAAATGTTAATAATTATTCTGTGAGTGAATCAGAAACAAGATTTTTAGGATAGGCCACGTAATGATCTGGCCAAATCTGTGTTGTGAAGACCCTCCAACACATGACAACAGCAAAAGCAAAATAAACTCTCACGGGTTACAAACGTTTAAGAGCGCACCAATTATGATTGTGTCAGCTGCCAGCCGGTTATTGTAAGAGCAATTTTCAAAACCACATTTAGCAGCTGTGGGATATATTTGAGTGCATGTGTAAATGTCACTCCTGACACGTACATGAGAGGAACAAGTGAGGTACAGGGACAAATAAACATTGAAACTCCTCTCTACAATTGCATTGCTTAAAAATTAAACCGTGATGTGTTCATTTCCATAAGATTGTCTGTGTGTGCATGTGAGAGTGTAAATGCGGCGGGCATGGTGCTGGCCACCCACCCCCTCGTGTGCCGTGCCAGCCTTAGTAGGTGCTCGCTAACAGCACTTGCCCCAAAAGTATGTTAAGGTTATATGAGGGATCTTTGTCTCTGTTGTGTTCACAGTTTCTGCATCTACCAGTCACGGTGGCGAAATGTTGACTCGCTCGCCTGGTATGCAGGAGGTCGTGGGTTCGATCTCAAGCCTGACGCCTGCTGTATATTTGGAGTTTGCGTGTTCTCCCCTTCATCTCGTGTTTTTTTTCAATGGTCCTCCGGTTTTTCCCTCCACATTTAGAACTTGCGTTTCGAGTATTTGGCTGCTATACATTTCCACATGATAAGTCACTTTATTGGGCTATTATTTGTGACCAGGTCGCTTCTGAAAAAGAGCTAGATAGCTCAGTGGGCCTTAACTGCTCAAATAAAAAGTTTAGTTTAGTCATCTCAGTCAATCAACCCATGGCACCTGAGGTCTATCCCATGACCTCCTGCCAGCGGGCGTTCGACACTTCACGTGGCCTTAACATGCACATGGCCTAGCACAAGCGCCGTGGTGACGTCACCCTCACTTCGTGGCAAAAAGCGGTTGTTGTTATGTGTGTGTGTGAGAACGCACGTGTGTGGACATGAGTAATGACAGACTTAAAGCGGTTCTCGACAGCCCCAAATTTCTCACGGAATTTTTACACAATTTCATAAGCGTAACGCTCGTGTGGCACGACAGCAAGGACAAGTTGTAGCTTACGCTGCCGCCCGGCACACGCAGGGCACGTGCGCTGCACTCCTTCCCTGCCAGTGCCGCTTGCAAGAAGGAGATCTGGGTGCTGCGCAGAGCTTCACTGATGTTCACCAACTGCTCAATGGACACCAAATAAAACAACACCGGCTAAAGGTGACTCTAGACGATAACACAAACGACGAGAAATATTACACATTTGTAGTGATCCAATTTTTAGTGACCAAAGTTGTGCAGTTTTTAAAAAATGAACGTGTGCATGATACCAGGTCACCCTTTTCACGTGCCTCCGTGGGTTTATTTCATTGCTGGGGTTAAATTAAGGATAGGACAAAGGCAGGCACGAGAGTTCTGCAACTGACCTGCATGTCGAATCTGGTATCGGGCTTGTCGGTGCCATATAGCGTGATGGCCTGCTGGTACGTAAGCGCGGGGAACGGAGGTGCCGTGCCCATCAAGCCCCTGGGCAAACTGTGCACCAGCAGGCCCTCCACCAGCCTCTGAATGTCTTGCTGCTCCACGAATGACATCTCGATGTCCACCTGCCCAAAACAGACATTTGTGCCCATGAGGTTTCAATCAGCCACATGACCTTCTGGGAGTGAATAATTTCAGAACCATTGGTTTAATACAAGCAAACTCCTCACTGGTTTTGATAATCAGTGTCTCATCAGCAAATCAGGCTTGCTTGTGTCGTGACTGACTCAGAGACACTAAGAGTAGGAGGCACTGTTTATTAACAGCCTTAACAGTTCACACTTCGTAACTACAGCTCCCAGTCAGGACAACTGGCAGACTGCCTGACTGACGACGCCGAGAAGGTGAAGACGGAGACGGCGACGAAGATTCCATCAGCACGACAAAATCCCACTCCAAACGACAGCCCCGAGCTCTTGCTCGGGGTCCCCTTTTATGCCCCCAGCGTGGCCTCGCTCCGCCCCGGCCACGCCCCTTCTCTAGAACCTACCAGCGGGTTCCCGGGCTTCCCCCACGTACCTTTCCCCTACATCCCTCTCTCTGGTCTATCACGTGACCTGCTGTCAGTCAGGGCTGCTGTAACTGCAGATCCCCTTCCCTGCCAGCAACAAGCGCTATGCTGTTAAGTGACCGATTCTATGTCACTACACTTGAACCAATATTGATGAACTGACAGAAAGCTGGTATGCAAGGATCCTCTCTGTTAGACATGAGTTCCATAGAAAACAAATACAACAGGTGACACCAAAGAACTTCATATTTTCAAAGAAGATGAGCAGCACCTGGATTTACAAGTTCTAGTTTATTGTATGTTGAACTTATTTTGTAATGTACATAGCCAACCGTGCTAATTGGAGGTACGGGGGAAGGACAACAAACAAAAAGCAGTTCTAATGAAGTTTTCAATCTACATTTAAAAGTGCATAGCTCCAGTAGCTTCCTAATATCGAAAGAGCGATCCAGACGGCCGCAGAAGCGCATCTGAAAGTGAACGATGCAGTGACCGTCCTTGGTCGATGGCCAGCAGCCAAAAGCCGCTACGAGGATGACCGGAGTTTGCCTGATGGTTTATGCTCCTTGATGGGATCAACAAGGTCTTGTGGTTCATTTGTGGCAAGCACTTGCGACCTTATAATGTTGCGACCTTGTAATGTATTCACTGGGCAACCAGAAGCGAATGCAGCTAACAGTCGAGGACTGCTGCTGCTGCTGAACGTCCGTGGACCCAGTGGCCTCCGTAAAGGGGCTGATGGCATGAAAAGTCTGAAGAGTCTTGTGTCGGTGAGGCTCATGTCATACCTCAAAGGCCCAATATTTAAGAGTGACATTGGCAAGACACACAAGGTAAATATTGTCAAACTAAAGATAACCCTTTTTGTATACAAGGCATTGATTTTGGATTCACCTGTGTGAACTCGGGCTGCCGGTCCGGTTTTGAGCCTTCATCTCTGTAGCACCTTGCGATCTGGAAATACCTTCACACCGCATGACGCAAATGGACAGCGAGCAGGGACACCGCGGCATGCGTTCAGTTGCAGTCGACAGCGCCCAATGGGCAGCAACACCCCCGTGGTGTCCGCAGCCACGAGGTTTTAGTTGCCACCGAGGGACTGGTAAGCACCGACACAGAGCACCCGACTCAAAGAGCCACGACTTTAATATCCCACCTGGGCACCCCCCCCCCCCCCACCCATCCCTGCAGGGTTGGTACAATGGAGTGCCACTCTTTGGGAGTCGTCAACAGTTATCCCATCAGGAGGGCAGCCCCGGCCATGAAAATGTGAAGTTTACTTCACTAGCCCATGGGCACTTTAACCAGTCACTCTCTTGTAACCGGGCACGAGCCACTGGCCATAAAAGCGTCTTTGTAATGCAGGTTACAAAGCAAGCGCAACACACAGTCCAACCCGGTCAAACACCGCAAGACAGGAAGTATAAATGTTAAACACGTACATTAGGGGTGACACTTTGAGCAATGACTCGTCTTCATAGCACATGCTATGAAGAAGGGCCGATTGCCTGAAACGTCACGTGTTTAATATTTCATTGTACCGTAAATCCTTGGATTGCGAGTAACTTGGTCTGCGAGTGTTTTGCAAGATGAGCAAAATTTTTAAATACATTTTAATTTGATAAACGAGCGAGGTCTTGCAATACGAGTAGTACGTATACGCTTTGTCTGCCGAGCATCACGTGATCACAACTGATATACGAGTGCTTTGCTATACGAGTGCTTTGGATTACAAACACGTTTCCGGAACGAATTATGCTTGCAATCCAAGGTTTTACTGTATATTTATTAATGAATGCGTCGAGTTTATTTATATATATACAAATATACATAAACATTTATATATATATTGGTGCTCGTGCACCACCGCCAGCGCAGCATTGCCATGCGCTCATTTGAGAAACGACGTTGACAGGCTTTGACGATTTACTCAAAAACGGACGCCAGCACCGCGCGAGCAGCGGCCGAGAGTTCCCGGTGTGGGCAGCGCGCACCTGTCGATCCCCCCCACCATGAGCAGCTGCTTGAACTGCTGGGGGCTCTGCGGCAGGCAGTAGAAGCGGCCGGGCTCCCGGGACGGCACCACGAATTCCTTCGCCCCCTGCGCCAGGCAGCGTGCAAGCGAGCGGGCGAACCGTACGTACAGGTTTGCGCTCGACACAAAGGTAAGCACTCGCATCCTTGTGCGCAATGGAGGTCACACAATAACTAAGCGAGTGATTCGCCTCCTTCGCACATCAGTCCCTCCGCGTAAAGAAATAAAAGAGTGATTAACGCACCACATCAGCTGCATGACCTACTGGGGGTGCATAATGTGAGCAGCGTTTATTCAACACAAGAAAGCTCTGGACTGGTTTCAACATTCAGTGCCACACCAGGAGAGTCAGGCTTAGTCTGAACCAATGCTGGTGAACTGCCAGATGTTTACAGGCAAGGCCGCTCCATGTTAGATATGGGCCGTAGGTCAACACAAAACCATTTAGCACATAAAACAGGTCTAAAGTTAGCTTGTGTTGAACCAATGCTAAATATAATGCACTCCCAGCAGACTGTGTGGCTGTGTAATATGTATTTATTTACGTGGAGGGACAGGTATGGTGGACGTTCATCACAAATAAAGGGCGCGGCTTTCCTGGTGCCGAGAACGAAGGGTGGAGACGTTTCCGGCGACTCGCCCTCATCTTATTGATGTGCGGTCACTCCTCGCTTCACGTCAGCCCGTCTACCATTGTTTCGCTACAAGGCCGCCGATCAACTACGACCCACATACGCATTTAACGTCACGTGGTCTCGCTCAGACGTCGCTGCCAGTGGGCACAAAGGGATGGCGGTGAACTTAAACTTTGCCGTGGACTGTTCCCAGTCAAGTCAACAAGAATGCGATTCAGTTATTTTTCTCATTACGAGCTTGTAAACCTCACAACACGACTAATATAATTAACTCCTTACCCTGTTAATGTCGAGGTGACCCCTATTGTCACAACGGATATGCATCGAAGGCAAAATATTTACGACCAAAATAAGTAGGTTCCCGTCGAGTTGAGGACTCACCCCCGGTGTTCTCTTGAATAACGTCGGAGTTTCCACGTCCACAAAACCTAGGTGGAGAGATCTCCATTCCGTCACAGCCACAAGCAACTCCCCCGTAACACAAGCGGACTCGCAACACGCCAATAACACCAATAACAATCCCGAAACAAACGCTCACCACTAAGTGACGGTGATGTCACCACATCGTAAAAACCAAAATTCTGGCAAAAATATTTTTCCAAACAATTATCCAATGACTATATAACCCACTAACTTGAAGAGGTTATCACATAATTCATTGTTTATTGCCCACATCAATAGATTGGAAGCACTAAGGTGATGCCACCTCAAGCAGGTAATACCAACAAGCGAGATAAAGATAAACCACTTTGCTGAGCTATCATTTGTGGCCAGATCACTTCTGAAAAATATTTATATAACTCAGTGGGGCTTATCTCGTAAATTAAAACATTGTTAAGTTTATATATGTGGTCTGGATTCGTTAAATAATACATTTAATTCACACCAGCGACAGGCGTTACGTGTCGTAACGGATTGGCGTCGAACTAGGACCCACACACCGAACGAAGAGTTTGCTTTCACTCAAGATTCAAATGCGCCGAGATTGACGGAATGTGTCGGTGCACCTGCGAGATGGTTTCACATTCAAGCAGCTCTGCGTATGGTCGAGAAGCGGCTGGAAGGCCCCGCTGAGATCGCTCGCCCAGCCCCATGCATATTTACCGTGGATGTTGCAGAGGTAATCCCGCATCCTCATCACCATGTCCGAGCGCGTCCTCAGGTTGTGTTGCATCTGACTGCTGCGCAAATCCAAGTAGCGGTACTTCATTCTCAAGGCTTCCGATTTCTGTGACACAAAAATGAGCAGTTAACAAAGACAACATCGACTTATTTTTCTTTAAATACGTAATGGTTAAGTTAAAGGTGTTATGAAAAATGGGTCAAAACCATTTCCTGTGGCCTCCACCTTCACATTCTCCAGAGTAACAACCAAGATGTCCAGAAAATGTGTATTGGCATAAAAGGCTGGCCCTGCTAGTGTGACACTCATGTTGCAACCAGTCAAGAACTTGCTTGCATTAAACCAATGCTGCTGAAATTATGCACTCCCAAATCGGCGGTGCGGCTGATGGGATGAGTAAAAAAATTACTTTGATGTGGATACGTGAAGGTGTCATGTCTGCTCGTTTGTGCCTTGTGCCTTGTGATCATTGCAAGGCAGGACGGGACAGAATCGTGTATCGTTGTCTGCCATTTATATCAACGGGACGAATAGGTAAACAACGGCGTGCAGGTGTCGGAGAGACCTTCGTAAAGTCATGTATTTCGAAGGGGAGAGTCTTGCTGCGGTTGAGAAGGCGCGCCCCCTGTACCTCCACCTCCACCGCCCCTGTCGCCATGTTCTGTCACAAACGGCGCGGTGCCTCCGTTACCTCGCTCCACGAGCCTCACACCGCGCGATTGTTCGAAGAGTAAAGGCAATCGTGACCAAACATTCAAGCATTTCACATCAACGTGGTCACTCTAGCACTCTTGTTAGTTGGCACTCAGAGAAGTGTGAACAGTAGAAATGCAGATACCGGAGACCATAAACATGTTAAGTCATGGGGTGGTAAGTCAAACCATTCAAGGACACCATTGACAGCAAAACCCACACAGAAGTAGCAGCAGAATTGCCCATCGGAGCCACCACAAAGCAACCGGCTGTGGCCATAGCAAGAGACTTGAATGCATAGGGAGGTTTCGTTCTGCGGAAACCCTTACTCGCCTACAGGCAACAGTAATCAAAATCCAACACCTTCTGTGACTTGTGATAAACCCGGCACAACAGGAGAATGCGTGTAGGCTTGGGAATCCCCATACTCTAGAAGTGAGTCCTCTCCATATGCAGGCTCCCGGAGGCACAAGGTAGCAGTGAACATTCATGACTGTGCTGTACAGAATAAGAACAAAACTGGTCTACAGTTGTCTCTTCGCTTCACTGCTGCCTAAAGGGACACGCACATTATCAACACTTTTGAGTTGGTGGTCTAGACAAAACTATGGTCGGACAAATCAGCTATTTTGAGCTGGTGGTCTGCACAAGGCTGAGAGCATTGCACATCTGATGTGGTGGTCACATGGCAAATGCGCACGGTGTATGGACGGACGTCGCGCCTCCATGCTGCGTGTGAGCAGCACCTGTGCGTGCCGCCACTGATGTTTGTGTCCGAGGTGCACACATTCTCCTCCCGCGATGGGGTTTCCCACCGTGTACACAGAGGGCTGGGTTTGGATCATGAGTACGGATCTAGAAGTGTATTAGACAGACACACCATCCAGTCTGCAATTTGAATGAATATATACTAAGGACACCTGCCAATATATTCAACATGTTGTAATTATGCGAATTACTTATTTGTCAGAAGGGAAAGACACGTGATTCGACGCTGCAGAGAGAAATAACGACACCTTTGCACGGGTTCTCAGGTTATGTTTTTCCCGTGGATTTGCTTTTCCTGACAGAGGGAACGCGTGCTGCAAGACTCACGGGGTTGCTCTGCCCAGGCGGACGACGGAGAACGACGCCGCTGACACTCACCACTGACTCCACGGGCACTTCAAACAGGCACAGCCTGAGGGCTGAGAATGCCTGCAAAACACATTTGCAACACATCGCATTGTTAGAAAATGCAAACGGAAACCCATCATACCAGCAGTCATCTGCGTGCCCTCAACGTCACGCTAACTGATAAGAGGCAGAATGGCTAAACGTCACTGTAACAACAAGTACAATACAGTTGGTTATTGATTATTCGGCATGCTCTCATCAGGCTTCCAACATTATCCGGCGGTCCCGGACCAATCTGGCGAAACCGGAAAAAAATACTCCAAAGGCTGTAACTAGTCTGGCGATCAGCACTGTGTGTGTGACCAAAAAAAAGTAGCTATGCTTGATTTTAGTGTCAAATATTATGCATAGTACATTATACACTAAATACAAATTCAACTATTAAAATACTGCACGTATATACATCACCCCATGCAGAGTCTTCAAAATTGAAGTGGTATGGTATAGTAAATACAGTAGCTTTTTAAAGTAGGATGTTTATTTGTCTATTTGTATGTTTATTTATGCCAATGGCATCTAGTAAACAAATTGAAAACACTTAAAACCATATACACAACATCTAAAAACATGTCATGCAAGAATGTGCAAAAATAAGCAATTTTAAATAATGATGATGAGTGATTATCTGGCGATTTTTTAAATCTCGTACCCTTCCCCCCCGAAGCTACCAGATAACTGATGATCTACTGTATTTAGTAGTGACAAGAGCTGAAATTAATCTCTTTAATGCACAATCACATCTTGTGTGGCTCACCTCTCCCTCGGGTACCACCAGCTGGGTCAGTCCTTGGAAATCCCTCAGCACCACAAACTGTGCGTTTCTGTTCAATGCAACACCCACGATGAAGACAAGCCATCCACCCATACCGTGAGCTGTCACCAGGCAACAGTCGCAACAACAGAGCTGTTATGCTATCCTTACCTAGTTTAGAGATTCACATTTAGTTTGTTAAACACAGATGATGCAAAACGGTCAGCCTTGTAAATCGAGTCCTCAACATGGGTGGAGCGATCAACGGGCGACGTTCGGAGAAACCACGGTAGTAGCGACGACGCGTGATAAGGAGGTGACTGACCACCGGGGTAAGTGACTCAAGTAAATTAGTGAGTGTCGGTTCATCAGTCAATCTGACGGAACACGCTCAAGTCGTTTTCAGAAAGGTGAAACACGCACGACAGGGTGGAACATTACGTGAAGAGTCAAAGTTTCCTCGAAGCTACTGGTGCTCGTTTGAAGCAGTGGCACTTGCTGCTACTCACCTCTGGTACTGAATCCAACCGAACAGAGTGACCTCCTGACCCACGTGCTCCAAGCCCAGCTCGCCGCATGTATGTGTCCGTCTCAAGAAGCTGTTGACGCCTGCAGGTTCAGTAGCAGACACAAGCTGCGTACATTTCTATACAATTCACATCAGTGGTTTTTTGCTCAAATGAGCATTTAGGTGGGGGGCTCATCCCCTGTGTAGAGCCCTGAGCAAGTGGTGGAAATGACATTCCTTTGGTGAGAGAAAGTTTATCCAAATTACGATCACTGTAGAACAACGATGTGACGATAAAAGTTACAAATTCCAAACGTGGCAGGCAAGGCAAACGGGCTCTCACCGAGGCTACACAATCACCAGGAGATATTTTTCCCAAAATGTGCTTGGAGTAATAAATGCATGAAGATCATTATAATGTAATTTATATTTCTATAGGGCGCTCACTCAAGGCGCTTGACATAAGTTGACAAAACGACAATTTAATGTAGTTGACAGGGGCGTTACTCTACGTGATTTGAGGAACCAGTGGCAGCGTTTAAGGTGAAAGTGTTCATCAACAGCCCAGACATCACTGATGAAGTAGTAATTTTAAGAGCCAATAGTAATTAACTCGAGAACACGACCGAATAACTTAACGAAGGCTCAAGTTATATGATGGGGTTCAAGATAAATATGGGCAAAACCTGATGCAATGAGTTCACTGGACATTCATAAAATGATAATTTAGTCGAAAGCTGGAGTGTCTAAAATAACCACGCGCTCTGTGTGTGCGTGAGTACATGGGAGAGAGTGTGCGTGGGAGGGTGTGTGCGTGACTACATGGGAGAGTGTGTGCGTGGGAGGGTGTGTGCGTGACTACATGGGAGAGTGTGAGCGTGGGAGGGTGTGTGCGTGACTACATGGGACAGTGTGTGTGGTGCCAGGGCTGCAGAGCAACTCTGCAAGTTTCCCGACTCCCCCCTGGCCCCCACACTGAGCAACCATACGCAGCGCACACACGGAGTGTCCTGGCAGGGGATTGCCTGGCACAACGTGTTTTAATCCGAAGGATCCCTAGGAGGAAAGTCCCACGGTTTCCCGGTGCCAGGAGATTGGCCGACCCTCGCAGGACAGGTCACATTGCGGTGCCCCTGAGTTGGCATTAAATTGTATGGGTGCAAAACAAGGTGCACCGGGCCAGCCGTAATGAGTCTTGCACGACATCGGGAGGGGCGGGGGTGGAATATTAAGCGAGCAGAGCAGAACATGAGGTCAGGGGATCGCAGCGCCATGACCTCCCCCGGCCCCAAACAGGGTGTGCATTCGCCAGCCGGACGTCCGTCAAGATTAACCAGGATGAGTCAGAATGGATAGACAATGGCTCGCAGAAGTAACCGTTGCAGCGCTCCATGTAAGGGAAGAAAATGAACGATAATCACAGGTAGGCGCACAATTGGCCATGCAGGATGACGTGAGCCTGGGTATTTGAAATCAGGGGGGATAAAAAGAGGAGCCTGGGACCGTTCAGATCAGATCTTGTCTTCAACCTCTTGGCCGCCAAAACCCACTCCCTGCCGTCCTGCCCTCTCGAGCTGCTCGCAGCATCTGTGTGATGCCAGCGTGTGCCGCCACGAGGCAGTGATAGGTAAAGTTTTCTTTCGTCCTCCTCCCTCCAACTCTCACAGCGTCCGTGCGACGCCGTGAGTACAGCTGCGAGGTATGTGCTAGGGTGTCTGAGTACCTAGGGACTTGGGCAGCAGTAGGCTAGACTCTGCTCGCAAAATATTCCCTCCGGGCAGTGCGGGGTTTGCGCCGACAATAAAAGTTAGTACAGAGGATAGGCGTGGTCTCTGTGATTCATGTGTGGAGCGACCGCGTGAGAGAATGTACGGCGAGAGTGAACGTGGAGCCGCAGTGTGAGCGCGCGTTGAGGCATTCGCTCGCAGGTGTAAGCGCGAGCGTGCCGCTGTGTGCTGTGTTAGCGAGAACTGTGGTCTCCGCGGGTGTGTGGGTGAACTCCGTGCGGCGGTGAGCCAGCAGTACAGCGGTGAGCCAGCAGTACAGCGATGTCCCTCAGAGGGGGCCGGCAGGACCCGACCGACGCGGATGAGGAGGGAGCGGCAGAGGCGGACGTCGCACCCCACCTGCCGAGCGAGGGCAGTGAGGTGGACGTCGGGCCGCACATATGTGTGTGGGAGGGTGTGTGCGTGACTACATGGGAGAGTGTGTGCATGACTACATGGGAAAGTGTGTGCGTGGGAGGGTGTGTGCTTGAGTACATGGGAGAGTGTGTGAGTGGGAGGGTGTGTGCTTGAGTACATGGGAGAGTGTGTGAGTGGGAGGGTGTGTGCATGACTACATGGGAGTGTGCATGACTACATGGGAGGGTGTGTGCGTGGGAGGGTGTGTGCATGACTACATGGGAGAGTGTATGCGTGGGAGGGTGTGTGCGTGACTATATGGGAGTGTGCGTGGGAGGGTGTGTGCATGACTACATGGGAGTGTGTATGCGTGGGAGGGTGTGTGCGTGACTACATGGGAGTGTGCGTGGGAGGGTGTGTGCTTGAGTACATGGGAGAGTGTGTGCATGACTACATGGGAGAGCGAGTGCGTGGGAGAGTGTATGCGTGACTACATGGGAGTGTGTGTGGGAGGGTGTGTGCATGACTACATGGGAGAATATGTGCGTGGGAGGGTGTGTGCATGACTACATGGGAGTGTGTGTGGGAGGGTGTGTGCATGACTACATGGGAGAGTATGTGCGTGGGAGGGTGTGTGCGTGACTACATGGGAGTGTGTGTGGGAGGGTGTGTGCATGAGTACATGGGAGAGTGTGTGGGAGGGTGTGTGCATGCGTACATGGGAGAGTGTGTGCGTGGGAGGGTATGTGCGTGGGAGGGTGTGTGCATGACTACATGGGAGAGTGTGTGCGTGACCACATGGGAGAGTGTGTGCGTGGGAGGGTGTGTGCATGAGTACAGGAGAGAGTGTGTGCGTGGGAGGGTGTGTGCGTGACTACATGGGAGTGTGTGTGCGTGGGAGGGTGTGTGCGTGACTACATGGGAGTGTGCGTGGGAGGGTGTGTGCGTGACTACATGGGAGAGTGAGTGCGTGATTACATGGGAGTGTGCGTGGGAGGGTGTGTGCGTGACTACATGGGAGAGTGTGTGGGAGGGTGTGTGCGTGACTACATGGGAGAGTGTGTGCGTGGGAGGGTGTGTGCGTGACTACATGGGAGTGTGCGTGGGAGGGTGTGTGCATGAGTACAGGAGAGAGTGTGTGCGTGGGAAGGTGTGTACGTGACTACATGGGCCATGAACCACCTTCAGTGCAGCACGCAACCGTGAATTATCGTTTCGATTGCAAGTCCCTGGCTGGCTCCAGTGAAGGCGAGAATATGCGGCAGGGTGCAGGATGAGTCGGCACGACACTCATGGGCAGATCAGCGCCGCCTCGCGCTCGTTTAGAAAGGGCCTCTCACGATAGTCACAACCACAATCGCACACACAGGGGAAACACCACCCCACACACACAGGGGAAACACCACCCCACACACACAGGGATAACCCGGCACACTTCACGCATCTGTCAACCTCCATCCCTTACCTGTCACCCCTCATATCTCCGATCTCACCTCACACCCTCACCTTTTTGCGTGGTCGCCTCGGCGGTGCTGCTGCAGCTGCTGCAGTGCAAGCTGAAGGCCGCGGTCTGAGCCCAGCCACGCGGGGCTCCCGCGTGTGCGGCCAGGACCCTCAGCCCGGTCCCCGCGGGGCGCCTCGCCCTGCACGCGCTCCGCGCGCTGGGCTTAGGCAGCCTCGCGGCGACCCAACGGCGGAGCGCGGCGAGCATCGCGCTCAGCCTCGCACAGCTCCTCACCACAGCCACACAGCCTCGCACAGCTCCTCAGCACAGCCACACAGCCTCGCACAGCTCCTCACCACAAAGCTCCACACCACAGCTCCACAGGCACCGTGCCACCTCTGAGCCCTTCGGGGCGCCTCGCGTGACCCCCACGCCACCCCCCTCCCATGTGCGCCGGCGGGGCAGCGCGAGCGGCTCGTGACGTCACGTCCGGGAGGAGTCTCCTCGCGCTACTTCCGCCTCGAGACTCCGCCCGGACGTGACGTAACGAATGCGCGCGCGACGGTTTGAGCGGAGGCGGCGGAAGACTCCGTGAGTAGCTCTCTGATACTCACCACTACTAACCACCACCAACACTCACCACCACCAACACTCACCACTACTACTCACCAACACTACTCACCACCAACACTCACCACCACCACGACTCACTACTACTACTCACCACCACCAACACTCACCACCAACACTCACCACCACCACTGCTCACCACTACTACTCACCACCACTACTCACCACCACTACTCACCAACACTCACCACCAACACTCACCACCACCAACACTCACCACTACTCACCAACACTCACCACCAACACCACTACTCAACACCAACACTCACCACCACCACTCACCACGACTCACCACTACTACTCACCAACACTCACCACCAACACCACTACTCAACACCAACACTCACCACCAACACCACCACGACTCACCACTACTACTCACCACCACTACTCACCACCACCAACACTCACCACCACCACTCACCACCACCACTCACCACCAACACCACCACGACTCACCACGACTCACCACCAACACTCACCACCAACACTACCACGACTCACCACTACTACTCACCACCACTACTCACCACCACCACTCACCACTCACCACCACCAACACTCACCACCAACACCACCACGACTCACCACTACTACTCACCACCACTACTCACCACCAACACTCACCACCACCACTACTCACCACTACTACTCACCACCACTACTCACCACCAACACCACTCACCACAACCAACACTCACCACTACTCACCACCACTACTCACCACCACTACTCACCACCAACACTCACCACCACCAACACTCACCACGACTCATCACTACTACTCACCACGACTCATCACTACTACTCACCACCACTACTCACCACCACCAACACTCACCACCACCAACACTCACCACCAACACGACTCACCACTACTACTCACCACCACTACTCACCACCAACACCACTCACCACCACCAACACTCACCACCACCAACACTCACCACCACCAACACTCACCACCACCAACACTCACCACTACTCACCACCACTACTCACCACCACCAACACTCACCACCACTACTCACCACCAACACCACTACTCAACACCACCACTACTCACCACCAACACCACTACTCACCACCAACACCACCACTACTCACCACTACTACTCACCACCACTCACCACCAACACCACTACTCACCACCAGCACCACTACTATTCACCACTACTCAACGCCACCACTACTCACCACCAACACCACCACTACTCACCACTACTACTCACCACCACTCACCACCAACACCACTACTCACCACCAGCACCACTACTATTCACCACTACTCAACGCCACCACTACTCACCACCAACACCACCACTACTCACCACTACTACTCACCACCACCACTCACCACCAACACCACTACTCACCACCAACACCACTACTACTCGCCACTACTCAACACCACCACTACTCACCACTACTCACCACCAACACCACTGCTCACCACTACTACTTTCGTGACTGCAGTAATTCATATTCTTAGCTCTTTCGGTAAAGTCACGTTGAAGGGAAACAATAAAATAATAAAATATATATAAAACAATACAAATTCTCACGACGTTTCGACCATAACACAAACGGTCGTCATCAGGTGTGTCGGTTCGCATTAATTTATTTATTTTCAAACGGTGTATTTATATAAAAAAACGTCAGCGCCACGCGCAGCGATTTGACAGTTTATTTAGACGGACGAGTCCATCTATGTTCTGAAAAGAGGAGGGGGGAGACGAAAAAAATTAATGTATCCTGTCTGAAAGCCACCGTAAGCGTGAACAATCAATTAAGACCTGAAATGGTTTATCAAATCCTTCCAATGATTGCTAAGCCATAATCCATCTTCTTGGTTGAAATTTTCTCTGTGCTTGTATATGTGGATAGCCTCATGAACGAATCTCTCATGGTAGCCAGATGGCTTACAAAGAACCTCTGTCTTGGAAAATCAATGTCATGTGAGCCTACTGAATTATAACAATGATCTGCCACGGCCGAGGTGTTGGTCCTACCGTGTTTAAGGTCTGCTTTGTGTTCACGAATGCGGTCCGAGACATGGCGTTTGGTTTCTCCAATGCAACTACTACCACAGAGGCAACTTAGTTTGTAGACACCAGGGTACTGTATGTCAACACATTACATAAAATCCGTGATCTGGTTCCGTCTGTAAAAGATGTGATTCCGGACATACAGTACCCTGATGTCTACAAACTAAGTTGCCTCTTAATGCAAACCGACACTTTCAAATGTTTCTTGCCGTTGCTTTTCACACCTGATGACGACCGTTTGTGTTATGGTCGAAACGTCGTGAGAATATTTATTGTTTTATATATATTTTATTATTTTATTGTTTCCCTTCAACGTGACTTTACCGAAAGAGCTAAGAAGACTCACCACTACTCACCACCAACACCACTACTCACCACTACTACTCACCACTACTCACCACCAACACCACTACTCATCACGACTCACCACCACGACTCACCACCACTACTCACCACCACTACTCACCACCACTCACCATCAACACCACCACGACACACCACTACTCACCACCAACACCACTACTCACCACAAACACCACCACTCACCACCAACACCACCACCACCACGACTTACCACTACTCGCCACCAACATCACTACTCGCCACAAACACCACTACAGTTCAGAGAATCGTCACTGGTGTTGACCGAACCTGGGCCGCCAGGTTCATAGCACAGCGCACTCACCGCTTCACTACCGCTCCCACTTTCACACACACGTGCACGCACACATACGTGCACGCACACACACGTGCACACACACACTCCCAGTGGAGCGGGATTCAGTGACATCTCGCGGAGGATCTCTCTGCTGAACAAAATAGTTCCGCGGTTTAGTTCGCAAGTGCGAGTTCGCAAGTGCGAGTTCGCAAGTCGATGCTAAACAAAACATATCTCAAAAAAAGCATGTTTGTAAGTCGGGTGTTCGTAAGTTGAGCACTGCATGTAATGAGAATGTATTGTTGTCATTCATAACAATTCAGGCCGTCCGTGGTGGTGCAATGGAAAACAGACAACCAAATGTGAATTTTGCAACGAGTGAAGATAAGCAAGAGAATTGGGTCAACATAAAAAAACCTACACCGTTTGGCCAAACTCCAGCCAGCCGATTGTTGCACTCTACCAACAAGCCCAGATTGGTAAGTTAAGTATAAAAAATCACGACGTTTTGATCGCAACACAAGCAATCGTCCTCAGATTTAAAAATATAGCAAGGGAGCTGCTGAAGCAGCAGGGTGTTGTATAGGCCTGAGATGGGTGCAGCCCAAGGGTAAGTGAGCGGGGTTAGAGAAGGAAGATCGAGGGCACCCCAAAGCTGTTGGGCTGGCCATTGTATTGTGAGAGATTAGCAGCGTGTCAATGTACAGTGAGGGAAAAAAGTATTTGATCCCCTGCTGAATTTGTCCGTTTGCCCACTGACAAAGAAATGATCAGTCTATAATTTTTATGGTAGGTTTATTTGAACAGTGAGAGACAGAATAACAATTAAAAAAAATCCAGAAAAATGCAAGTCAAAAATGTTATAAATTGATTTGCATTTTAATGAGGGAAATAAGTATTTCACCTCCTCTCAATCAGAAAGATTTCTGGCTCCCAGGTGTCTATACAGGTAACGAGCTGAGATTACGAGAACACTCTTAAAGGGAGTGCTCCTAATCTCAGCCTGTTACCTGTATAAAAGGCACCTGTCCACAGAAGCAATCAATCAGATTCCAAACTCTCCACCATGGCCAAGACCAAAGAGCTCTCCAAGGATGTCAGGGACAAGATTGTAGACCTACACAAGGCTGGAATAGGCTACAATACCATTTCCAAGCAGCTTGGTGAGAAGGTGACAACAGTTGGTGCGATTATTCGCAAATAGAAGAAACAAAAGAACTGTCAATCTCCCTCGGCCTGGGGCTCCATGCAAGATCTCACCTCGTGGAGTTGCAATGATCATGAGAACGGTGAGGAATCAGCCCAGAACTACACGGGAGGATCTTGTCAATGATCTCAAGGCAGCTGGGACCATAGTCACCAAGAAAACAATTGGTAACACACTACGCCGTGAAGGACTGAAATCCTGCAGCGCCCGCAAGGTCCCGCTGCTCAAGAAAGCACATATACATGCGCATCTGAAGTTTGCCAATGAACATCTGAATGATTCAGAGGACAACTGGGTGAAAGTGTTGTGGTCAGATGAGACCAAAATGGAGCTCTTTGGCATCAACTCAACTCACCTTGTTTGGAGGAGGAGGAATGCTGTCTATGACCCCAAGAACACCATCCCCACCATCAAACATGGAGGTGGAAACATTATGCTTTGGGGGTGTTTTTCTGCTAAAGGGACAGGACAACTTCACCGCATCAAAGGGATGATGGACGGGGTCATGTATCGTCAAATCTTGGGTGAGAACCTCTTTCCCTCAGCCAGGGCATTGAAAATGGGTCGTGGATGGGTATTCCAGCATGACAATGACCCAAAACATACGGCCAAGGCAACAAAGGAGTGGCCCAAGAAGAAGCACATTAAGGTCCTGGAGTGGCCTAGCCAGTCTCCAGACCTTAATCCCATAGAAAATATGTGGAGGGAGCTGATGGTTCGAGTTGCCAAACGTCAGCCTCGATACCTTAATGACTTGGAGAAGATCTGCAAAGAGGAGTGGGACAAAATACCTCCTGAGATGTGTGCATACCTGGTGGCCAACTACAAGAAACGTCTGACCTCTCTGATTGCCAACAAGGGTTTTGCCACCAAGTACTAAGTCATGTTTTGCAGAGGGGTAAAATACTTATTTCCCTCATTAAAATGCAAATCAATTTATAACATTTTTGACATGCGTTTTTCTGAATTTTTGTGTTGTTATTCTGTCTCTCACTATTCAAATAAACCTACCATTAAAATTATAGACTGCTCATTTCTTTGTCATTGGGCAAACGTACAAAATCAGCAGGGGATCAAATACTTTTTTCCCTCACTGTAGCTACCGCCACGTCGAGGCCTGAGATGAGTGCAGCCCAAAGGTAAGTGGGCGGGGTTTTATTACTTTCTATCTACTTGACTTTACCGAAAGACCCAAAGAGTATGAATTCCTGCAGTCACGAAAGCTTGAAGTCAAGATTTAAGTATAAAACTACAGTTTTCCTGGGTTTAAATCATATATGTGTATGTTTTGCCTGCTCACGTAGTTTTTTCACCTAAAGTTTTCATTATTTGGACCCTTTCTGGCATGCCCTGAATTCTGGCTTACCATTCCTTGTCTGGCAAGGGGAAGTTGGACTGTTTGACGATAAGCCACTACTGACTACCATGGACTTCTAGTTAATCCCAGCATCACACTCGGTCAGTCACAATGCAGGTTTTTGCCTTTGCTGCGATGGAGGTGAATATCTAGTTTTATTCGAAATTATGCAAGCAAATTACTTTTGATTGCAAATATATGTTTTTTTCTTCGCAACACTTATCCAGCATCCCGATGATCTGCCAAGGCTGCAGTCGTTGCTCAAGAAATGGCTGCATGTGAGTCGTGTGTCTCCGCTATTTGGGTACAGCCCCACGTGCCTGAAGATGTATTCACAAATGCTGTCTGCACACCTCCAAGCAGAGCAGCGAAAAGGCGTGCCAGTGGAAATGGGCGAGCACCATACTGGGCATGCCCTCCTCTCTATTTTCCCAGGCCTTGCCGTTACCGGCAAAGAATCTGAAGCTGTTTGCATACAGGTGAGATCACAAACTGATCACTTTGGTAGGAAACCCGTCATCTTCATCTACACTGCAACATTTCACAGTGTCATGATGTCAACAGTTCATTTGAATGTCATGATGCAGTGATAGTCAAGGGTTTTTTTCATTGCTTGCCTTCTCTCTTCTGCGTGTTTTAGGTGTTTAAGAAAGAAAGCAAGACCAAACAGAAGATCGTGTGGGAAGGGGTGCTGTGCTGCACAGACGCAGATGTCTCTCTGCTGGCATCAATACCTGCCGAGTTTACCTGCCTCCCACTGATGCTGTGGTATGGCCCCAAAGGTGTAGGTATGCAGGTGGCTGGCTGGTTGCAGAAAACCTTTGATTGTCGGGTTGGAACCCTGACCCTAACTTCTCAAGACCTTGCATGGATGGTGACATTGTGGATCATGAACGAGGTGGGATTCTGAAAATTGGCCCAATATTTATTTGTGCCTCACATTTTTATGTCACCCTTATATGATTTCAGTTTTACCAGGCTGGTTTTGCATTTAGTTGTCATGGCAGTTGACTTCATTGTGAGGTTTGTAACTTTTGCTTAATTTCCAGTTCTTTAAACTTCATGATTTTGGTCATTTTCACGAGAAAATTGAATAAACATTTCTTTATATGTTGAGTAACTCTGGCATGATTCTGTTTTTGCAGTTTTATTTTGGCAATGGCAATGCAGCCTTTGGCATTAGTGCCACAGCCATTTTCACATTCGGATGATAAAAAATAAGGAAAGGTTTTCCCCTTTCTGGCAGTAAAACAGGAGGTGTTAAGATATTCATATACCAAATGGATACCTTTTGCAAGGCATCAAGTCTGCATTAACCACACACATTTGTGGGAAAAACATGCAAACACGCTCTGATAATGAAAAATAATAATAATAGGTTTTACCCTTTCTGGCATAAATTGATCCTGGCAAAAAAGGTCCCATGATATGCTCTGATAATATACTTGCATTGTCTTTGCAACTGATTGGCCGACACCAGAGACAGCCTTATTTATGGCCTTGTCTCACCAGTGTTAGACCAGTGAATGCCAAAAGGCGAACAGTACTAAGACAATGCGAGTATTAGAACACTTATCGCTTGGGTCGAGCAGTTATATCGATGTGACCTCTTTGCCAAGTGAGCTCTTTCCACCGAAATATGGCTGCGTAGCCATGCTCGCGCGCGAGCTTTTGTGTTCATGGCCGCTGCTGCTCGTCAGCATTCAGGTGCGAGCAAGGGCATGTGCGCAAAGCTTAGTGGTCTCCGCGCAGAAATGTAGGTGAATAACATTTTGTGCTGATGCTTTTAGGGCAAGGCGACAAACTGCACTGAGCTGAAGTGGACCGCGCCGACAGAGGTAAAGGAAGGCCTCACCATCTCGATGTCCATCCACCCGACAGACGCGTTACAGCTCTGGGAGTGCATCCACATGGGAGGGAACGAGGTCACGATGCAGGTACACAGCGCAATGTTACCTGTGCATCGCTGCGTTTTGGAGTGTTTATACACTTTCATTTATAATATTTTTGGTGATTTGCTATTTTTTTTCACCTGTATCAGTTATATTTTTTATTTGCAGTCATTCAAATACCAAGTTTTATTCAGTTTCACAACTTCTGCCCCTCTCCTTCCTCTTACCGTGATGTTTGCAAGGGGCTCATAGTTGCACACACACCACATACATGCAAATTGGGTATCCAGATCTGTCTTTAGATTTGGTGCATCCCAGATTGATGATCCAGCACTCACTGATTCATTCCACTCACACGGTCACCGCTGGTCGGTGACCTCCTTATTCTTCTGTCACTATCACAGATTTTCCTCATATTCTTTGGGTCTTTCGGTATAGTCACATAGATAGGTTCAAAGAAAATAACAAAGTAACAAAAAACTACGACGTTTCCATGGAAACACAAGCGGTCGCAACACAACCGGTCATCATCAGGATGACCGCTTGTGTTGCAATCAAAACGTCGTAGTGTTTTGTTATTTTCTTTTAACCTAATCTTTGGTTCTTTCATTTAACCTATTTACGTGACTTTACCGAAAGACCTAAAGAATATGAATTCCTGCAGTCATGAAAGCTTCAGTCAAGATTTTCCTCACTTTATGCGGAAGATGCATTCCAGAAAATGGGCGTACAAAGCGAAACCGCATGAGACAGCTGCCTACCGAGTAGCGCATACAGTACACACAATGTTGTCCCAGTCCAATCGTGTAGTAATTTAAAATAAATAATAATTACAAGGCTTTACATAATGCTTAAGTTATGGAGACAGCCTGTAAAAACAGGTGAGTTCTAAGACACGACTTAAAAAGTGTGATTCCCAAATGAAACGAGGAAAGGAATTGCATGTGTATATATGTTGACCTTCTTTTGCACCTTATGTAGCCAACTGTGCGAATGGGAGGTGCGGGGGAAGGACAACAAACTAAACACAAAAAACTGTTCTAAAGAAATTCGTTTTCAATCTAGATTTTAACGTTCATAGCTCCAGTGGCTTTCTAATATCGAAAGGAAGAGCGTTCCAGGCGACCGCACAAGCCCATCTGAAAGCGCACGATGCAGTGACTGTCTTTGTTCGATGGCGAATCAAAATCAGCTGCGAGGATGACCGGAGTTAGCGTGATGATGGTTTATGCTCCTTGAGATCAGCAAGGTATTGTCATTCATTTGTGGCAAGCACTTTGTGTGTAATGAATGCAACCTTATAATGTATCGTTTGGCAACCAAAAGCCAATACAGCTTGGCAAGCACTGGATGGACACAGTCGGATCTTGCAGTACCCATAACGACACATAGAGTTTTGTACACGCTGCAGCTTGATGATGTTTTTCCCAGACGTCTCGTAGAGTAGTGAGTTGCAATAATCGAGCCTTGTCGATATAATCCTACATGCCACCGTGTTGGCTACGTCATGACTCAATAGTGGTCAAATGTGTCATGTAGAGCCCTCATATAAAAATTACAGGACCTGACTAGATTTTGCGCGTGGCGATTAAATTACATTTTGGTCAGGTTTTTTGCCGAGGTCCTTTAGATGAGCAGAAAACTGAATCCTGGAGTCTGCGACCGCCACACCCAATCCACAAATATTTTCGCCTGAACCTTAGTACCAACCAGCAGAACCTCCGATTTTCCTGGATTAAGGAGCATTTCGTTTTGTGCAAACCTCACGTGCACCGCTTGTGTGCAATCGTTGAGGTTACCGAGGCTCTCTATATCTAACTTTGGCTTGACTGCGGGGTACAATTGTGTATTGTCAGCATATTGATGGAACTTGATGTCGTGCGATCGGAAAGATGTATGTTGAAAAAAGGAAGGGCTCAAGGACAGACCCCTGTGGTGCGCCAACTAGGCACGGCATAGGCGGTGACTGTTCGTCACCCAGCTTGACGACCTGTAATATAATTTACCCATGTAGATATGACTCAATCAAACCCAGTGCTGTACCCGATACACCGAAGCTTGTTTTTGTAGTGAAATATATTTTTTATTAATTAATTTAAACCACATATAGCAAATTTTGGGAAGAAATAGGTTAGCCGCATATACACGAAATCGTACAAACCATATCCGCATAAAGCGGGGAAAACCTGTACCATGGTTACTGTTCCAACAAACTTCACTTGTCGATTCTTCCACCCACGTTGAGGACTCAATCTACTGAACTGTCCAACCACCACACAGCAGGTCACAATATGCTCACTCACCCACTCGCCACACTACAGATCTCTTCACTTCTTTCTCTGCTTCCCCCCTCGCACTGCCTCTCTTGGGAATTCCCTTCCATCGTCTCTTTTCTCCAAGTTTTAATAACCTTGCTCATTTCAAGTAATGTGTAGTGTGGTGAAATATGTGGCGCACACGGGGTTGCACGCTGACACCGGAGGTGTTGCCAGGGGGACGTGCGATAAGGGGTGATTGATGGCCTGACAGGCGCCAGCCTGTCTGGCCCTAAAGAGACACTAGGGAGGAGCTGGACAATTGGGAGGGGGATATAACGACATGTGTAAGAACGGAGCGGGAGTTCGTGTTGCGCCGCTGCCGGGAACGGACCTCAACCCTCACGAGTCGCCAGGCGGGTGATGGTTGATCCCCCCGCCCGGGTCGGATGAGTGAGTGGGTCTGAGGGAACGGAGGCTGTGGGAGCGCTGCGCTGCTGTGTGGAAGCCTCTGTGTGAACGCTGCTGTGTGTGGAGCCTTGAGTGCGGAGCTGCCGAGAGCAAGAGCTGCTGTGTGCAGGTTAGCGAGGTGTAGCGTAGATAAGAGTGGGAATTGGTTAACAGAAGTGGCCCTAGCAACAGTGATAGGAGTGCCTACAACTGGTGCAAGAATAGGCTAATAAAGTGTAAGCCGGTGACCTGTTACAACGTGTCAGTCTGAGAGATTTTTCAAGACACTACAAATGTATGAACTCTCGTCTCTTACAACCTTGATAGGTGTGTTGTTGCTGGCCTTGTGACGTTTTGGGCCTTTAGGCCTGCATTTAGCAGTTGTACTAAAAATAAAGAACTGCATTGATTAGTATGCATATGGAAGTGTAGGTTTCATAGTCACACTCTTTACATACAATAAAGCAACTTGTATTGAATGGGTGATGTTTCCTGCCGTGCTCCAGGAGGTGTCGAACTTCATGAATGGGATCGAAAGTCACTTCTACAACCACTTCCACATTATTTTGTCTGCCATGTCACTGGCTTACATCGGCACCTCTGCAGCCTGTGCTGCTAGAAAGGGGAAAATCAAGGTAAAGCGATCATTACTCATTAACAACTGTTTGCCTTTAATTATAGTTGATATGCCAGTAAAATAAACACAAAAGATCTACACCAGTTATTCAGCTTGTATAAACATTGTTTTAAGTTTACACATTTTAAATTATATTACGTAAAAAAGTGAATGATACCTTTGCCCTTGTGAGATAAATATTTATTTTCCGTAGTTTTCATTTCTCTAAGATTTCTTGAATGTCACGTGTAATCAACATATTTCTTCAGTTGGCTTATTCATGTGAGCCTTCAAATGTAAATGTATAAAGGAGACCCTTTAGTACCATGGGGGTTACATTCTTGGAAAGTGCCGTGGAAACCAAAACCGCAATATTAAATACTTAAGCCTTACCCAAATAATGGGGTCAGGTACATGGTAACCAGCAATAGACACGTCATAATTGAAATAAGTACTGTGCTTTATGCCAAATATAGTAAAAACTAAATAATTGAAATAAACATTTCGATTTAAAGCTTTCGTGACTGCAAGGATTCATCTTCTTTGGTTCTTTCGGTAAAGTCACGTAGAATGAGAATAAAATAATAAATTAATAAATTAAAATAACAATTAAATTCTCACGACGTTTCGGCCACAACACAAGTGGCCTTCTTCAGGTGAAAGGAACAGACCTGTCTGGACGTCAGAGCTTCAATGAAGCTCTGTCGTCCCGACAGGTCTGTTCAATGAAGCTTTGTCGTCCCGACAGGTCTGTTCAATGAAGCTTTGTCGTCTCGACAGGTCTGTTTCTTTCATCTGAAGAAGGCCACTTGTGTTGTGGCCGAAACGTCGTGAGAATTTTATTGTGTTATTTTATTTTATTAATTTATTATTTTATTCTCATTCTACATGACTTTACTGAAGAACCAAAGAAGATTAAATAAACATGTAAAAAACCCATACAAAAAACTTTCCTAGACAATATCAATATTGTACTTACTGATGATGATCCAAAGTGGGTGGTGTGTGTTGGTCGGCAGCAGTTAGTGCGCTGCGCTACGAACTCAGCCACCCGAATCCGATTCCCGCTCGCACCCAACACCAGTGACAATTATCTGAACTGGTCCTGGGCCTCCCCTAGGCCGACTCGGCCTCAAATGAGTACCTAGTTTGATGTATAAACATCGCCACTGGGGAGACAAAGGTCGTCGGACGTGGTGATGGCCACCCACCCTCTCGTGTGCCGTGCCGGCCTGCATAGGTGATCGCTAATAGCATTTTCCCCAACAGTCTGTTCAGGCTGTATGGGGGATCTTTGTCCGTGAGATGCTTGGAGGGAGCGGTGGTGTCCCGGTTAGTGTGCCGCGCCATAAACCTAGCGATCTGAATTTAATTACCACTCATGGGCAACACCAGTGACGATTATCTGAACTGGTCCTGGGCCTCCCCCAGGTCGACTCAGTCTTAAACGAGTACCTGGTGCAATTTGTAAATATCGCCACTCGAGAGACAAAGGCGGCCGGGCGTGGTGCCGGCACGACACACGTGTGTGTGCTGGCCTTCGAAGGTCTTCGCTTTCGGGGGGGTCTTTGCTTGCATGGCAAAGGTTGAGGTGCCACCGACTCCCTAGCCAATGATACAGTATTTCTGTGTAAAGTATACACGTGAAAAGGCCAAAACTAATCCCCGCAATAGCTAAATTGGTATCCAGTGAGGTTGCCTGCAATAGGTTGAAACCACGAACAATAAACCCCCGATATTCAAGGGTCTCCAGTACGTGTATCTGGTGCATAGGGTGAAATAGATGAAAAAAAATATTTTCGATGAAGACACTAAAGGTGACGCAACACGTGCTGTTCAATTACTGTATTGATGCCACCATTAGTCGCTCTCAGTATGCTGAAAACTCGTAATGCAGGGGAGATGTGGCCCTCGATTCATCACGTAATTCAGATTGTAATTTTGAGCTTCCGTGGTGTAATGGTTAGGTTGAAATCTAGAGGTAGCGGGTTTGATTCCATCTCCCGGTGTAGCAGCTGCAACAATGGGGGGACAAGTTTCTGAAATCCTCCCATTGGATCTGTCCACCCAGCTATATAAATGTTTCTGCACAGTTGATTGGCAAGTTGTGTGCAGTGCGGTGAAGTATGGGTATGCATACATCTTCCAACGCGTCCGGTCAACGTGATACATCGAGGAGTTGGCTTGAATGGGAGTTCCTTCTGCCAGTCGAGGCATGGGCAATTGTAGGGCTGCACTTTTTTATCCTGTGCGATCAGTGTCACCGTTTTACATGTGGCTATGTCTCGTTGCATTGAACGTTTGGTATTGAGAACTGTTTTGCTGCGTCATGGTACGATTGGTTGCTGCTCGCAGATGCTGACGGTCGGGAGAATGCACGAGGTGCTGCGCTTCCTCACAGAACTCGCTGTGCCACACGGACAGTGACCTCTTCATGACCCTCTGCACGGAAACGATCGGGGGGGAAAAAAATTGTACTCAAACACAGACATGTTGTTCTTTTTCTCACAAAGATTGTTATTTTTATTTAAAATTACAGAAAAGGTCAAGTATGAAGTTAGGTTTTTGTGCGTATATTACAGTGCTGAATAGTAGTTTGATGGTATTGGGTTTTCACAGATACTAAGTACCTGAGTGTTTTGTCACCTGGAATATTTTTTTTCCTGCATACCAGTCGAGAATAATTTTATCGCTCATGCTGATTACTGTTGGCAAAATATCATGATATGTAAACCAAGAACATTAAATTTTTGTAATTTTTTTCATACATATACTAATTGACATGGCTTTAGTTAGACGCAGTTTTTGTTCAGTGATTCATGGTTTAACACGTAAAAGTCCCCTGATTTACCACCTCTACCAATTCCACCGCAAGTGGCTTCTACCCATGGGAGTTTAATGACCGAGGCCACAAGGTCTAAAGGATGTGAGAGATAGGTGCACTTCACCCACAAACTTCCAAGTGAACTTGTTTCAGAAGTAAATCCATTTCATACCCCACGATTCATTTTGTTGCCGATTAATGCCAACAAAACGGAGCCTTGGCATTCCTCTTTAGACAAAACCCTGACACACAGACACGTGTGTACACTTGCATTTGCAGGTACCTTCTCATTTCTCAAAAAACATACTGGGCAAAAAAAACTCCGGATATTTTTTGTTGCATTCAATAAAATAATTTACAACGTACAAGAGTACAATATTTACATTTGATGGTTAAATGTCTCGGTACTAGTCTTCACATTTCAAATATAAACATTGAAATATAAATTTGCCATTTTTGACATTAATGTTTTATTCTTTGGGTCTTTCGGTAAAGTCACGTAGATAGGTTCAAAAGAAACCTATCTACGTAACTTTACCGAAAGACCCAAAGAATATGAATTCCTGCAGTCACTAAAGCTTTAAGTCAAGATTAATATTTTTTATTTGTGAAGGTTCGATGTTTTTACCTTTCATTTTGTCTTCTTAATGGATGATTTTTTTTAAACTTAGATAATAAAGTGATGTCTGTGTCAATTTGTTTAAAAGTCATTTTATATTACAACTAGCAGAAAGTACCCGGCCTTGCCCAGGGGAAAATATATTTAAAAACTTGTCTAAAAACATAACATATACATACACAAGTGTTGTGCAGTAGAACCACGCGGAGACGAGGAATACTATAAGGGCTGTTGCCGTTTATTAAATCACTGTCACACTCGACATCCTACGCTCACATCAGTGTAGGTGCACTCTATCTCGGTCCTTTACCCCGGAAACTGTATACTATTTGGGTCCTACCCTCGGCTACCCCTTGGGCTCTCTCGTCTGCCCAGAGCAGGGGTTCAGCCAACACCGCTCCGCGACGAGGAGAGAGAGACCCTCTTTTAGCCGACCCTTACTGAATACTACGGGACCCTACCCTCGGCTATTTCCTTAGCTCTCCCACTCGTCTTCCTGGAGCGGGGGTGCAGCCAACTCCGCGACGAGAAGGGAAAGACCCCCTGCAGCCTATCCTTACCCTGGCTCCCCACGACAACCACGCCTTCGTCACGGGGTCCCCCTTAAGAACCCCTTGGGTGGCTCCTCCCCCCCAGCTCGGACCCACCTTTGTTTCCGAAGGTACCCCTTACACCACTCGTGATGTTACTTCATCCTTGACTGTCAACCCGCTTGCACCTTCTGTTCGCCCCCTCATGGGTTACTCAAAATACTCCTCTACATCCCTCCCCATAAAAAAACCCCAGCCGTCCCGGCTGCTAACTATACTGAAAAACAACCCACGGCGGGGTCGACGGCAAACAGCTAGAAAACCATCAACAACAATTGCAACAATAACTATCACTGGAGGTGATGAGGCAGGGCCGTCTGCGGGGGAATAACAAGGGTGTTAAGGCAGAACGGCAAGTTGGACGGAAGGCCTCCATCCCTCAGTCCATGATGCTGACCACACCGTCGGTGATGACAGACATCTGTCGATACGGGGCGAGAAGGAGGAGCTCAGCGGAACAGAGCGCCTCTGGACCGTGTACGCGACACCGGTCCGCTCCCACGAGCAGCATCCAGCTTGTGCGCGAGCAGTGCGTCCTCGGCCGTCGTTTCCCCCGACGAGGATGCCAGCAGCTCCTCGGGAGCTAATCGGAGGGGTCCTGTGGGCGGAGAAACAGCTTTTGCTGCACCACATCCCGGCCTGGGTGGCCAGGCTCGTCGGACACATCAAGCACCGGTCGCTCCGGAAGTGGGGATGAAACATCGGGACAGGGCAATACATACCTCTTCAACCTGGATGGGTGAACAATCCAGTGACGGCGATCAAATCGGATGCGCACACACTGGCCGGCGACCTCCACGACCTCAACGGGACCCTGCCAAGGGCGATGTAATTTAGGGGACGTCCCTATGGGTACCTGTGTGCAATGCAGCCATGCTTTAGCCCACTTCCTCCACGGAAGCCCGGATCCCTGGTGTTTCTACAACCGTTCATTACCTGCTTGCCGATTGGCCGAATTGCCTACAGTGGCCTCCCGTGCTTCCCGCAACCTGTCAAGCGTGACTCTCATCGAATCTGGCACGGCGGATCCCTTTTTAGATGTGCTCATGCCCAGCTGTATGTGCATCGGGTGTTCGGGATCCCTTCTGTACATTAAATTAAAGGGTGAAAATCCCGTTGAGGCGTGAAGGGCCAACTTACACGCAGCGAGAATGCTCGGAATAAACAGATCCCAGTCCGACTGCGTCGCGTTTACCTGGTGGCACAGCATTTCGACCCTGGTCGGTTAGAAGCTGCTCTGGGGCTCCCTTGTCTAACACGTAGCCATGCAAAAAGGCATCAGTGATGGACGAGGCCGACTGATCATGTAAGGGCCACGCCATGGGCCAGCGTGTGAGGTACTCCATCCTGACCAAAAGATACTTGTGGCCCCGCTGAGAAGTTGGAAATGGGCCTAAAATGTCAAGGGCCACACAGCAGTGCATAGGGACTTTGGTGGTACCTGCTTTCACTACAGCAGTGCATACTGACTGGTGGTTCCTGCTATTACTATAGCAGTGCATATTGACTGTGGTGGTACCTGCTTTCACTACAGCAGTGCATACCGAATATGACGGTACCTGCTATGGCTAAAGCAGTGCATATTGACTGTGGTGGTACCTGCTATGACTACAGCAGTGCAATACCGACTTTGGTGGTACCTACTTTCACTACAGTAGTGCATACTGACTGCGGTGGTACCTGCTATCACTACAGCAGTGCATGCTGACTGTGGTGGTACCTGCTTTCACTACAGCAGTGTATACTGACTGGTGGAACCTGAATTTCGATTTAAAGCTTTCGTGACTGCAGGGATTCATCTTTTGGGTTCTTTCGGTAAAGTCACGTAGAATGGAGATAAAATAATAAAAAGAATAATAAAATTCTCATGACGTTTCGGCCACAACACAAGTAGCCTTCCTCAGGTGAAGAAACAGGACTGTCCGGAAGACAGCGCTTGAGTGAACCCTGCCAAGCTTGGAAGCATCTTTTAAACTGTGCGGGAGGAACACAGCGCCTTGACAAAGGAGTTTACATATAAATTAGCATGCAACTGGGGGATTAGCATGATGTTGGTGTGAGGGATTAGCACCACGGAGAGCGACGAGCTTTGTTCAGACGGACGAGTCCATCTATGTACGGAACGGAGGAGGGGGGAGAGGAGTTTACATATCAACAGTAAATTAGCATGTAACTGGGGGATTAGCATGATGTTAGTATGAGGGATTAACACCACGGAGAGCGACGAGCTTTGTTCAGACGGACGAGTCCATCTATGTTCGGAACGGAGGAGGGGGGAGGAAGAGGAGGAAACGGCCATGGTGCGCTGCTGTGTCCTGTGTTGCATTATAACTATGCTATAAACTAAACTACTATACTTTTTGGTTCTATTCGGTAAAGTCACGTAGGTAAATAATAAAACAACAATAATCACGACGTTTCGGCCACAACACAAGCGGCCTTCATCAGGTGAAGGGACGAGCCTGTCTGGAGGACAGCGCTGGAGTGGAAGAAGCCACGCTTAGATCACGACATTTAAGCTGTGTGAGAAGAAGAAGACCACGGGCTTTGACAAAGGAATTCGCATATAATTTAGCATTGAAATAGTTTAGTGATTAGCTAGTAACTGGTCACAGAAATAGCTATGTTAAAGTCAGAGTATATACATTCACCGAGGCACCTAGTACTCATCAAACAGGAGAATTTAGCGAAACACAACCACGCTCAGACATCGGACCTGTGTGCGAGCAAAGAGGTGGTGTACGTGCCGGTGGACTTGCAGTTTGGCGAGGGGGGGGGGGAAAGGGGGGAGGGGGATTTTACCCATTGATGGTGTGAAAATGGGAATTTATAAGAGCTGCGAAAGTTTGGGGTACCACTACTCGAAAAATATACTGTACCATTGAAATTAGTTTAATGTTTAGTTCGATTTAGAACATCTTTCCAATGGTTGCTTAATTTGAAACCATCCTCTCGGTTGAAATTGTGTCTGTGTTTGTAGATCTGAATTGCTTCATGAACAAATCTCTGATAAAAGCCCGTGGGTTTGCAAAGAACCTTGGTATCGGAAAAAATTATATCGTGATCCCCCACAGCGTTGTAACAGTGATCAGCTACGGCAGAAGAATTCGTTTTGCCGTGTTTCAAATCTGATTTGTGCTCGCGAATTCGGTCAGAGACATGTCGCTTTGTCTCACCGATGTAGCAATAACCGCAGGTACAACTCAATTTGTAAACCCCGGGGTACTGTAAATCAGGAATGACATCCTTCACGGATGGGATCAGATCACGAATTTTGTGTACTGTATTGAACCGGACCTGGATATTGTGTTTGTTTAGAATTTTGGAAATCTTTTTAGTAACGCCTGCTATATATGGAAGTGTGATGGTTTTGACCGGAGTATCAAGTGGTTGTTTCTGTATGGAAGGAGAGACAGCTTGGCGGATGGTACGGTCAGAGTAACCATTCCTTTTGAGGGCCAGGTGTACATGTTTTAATTCACTGGTCAGGTGGTGTTGGTCCGAAATGCAATGAGCCCTATGGTATAAAGTTTTGATGAGAGAATTCTTTTGGGCTGGGTGGTGGTGGGAATCAGGTTTCAAGTAGGAATCTGTGTGGGTGGGTTTCCTGTAGACAGAATGCCCCAATGAGCCATCAGGTCTCCTCTCAAACAGAACGTCTAAGAATGGTAGCTTGCCATCTTTCTCCACTTCCATGGTGAATTTGATGGCGGGATGTCTGGAATTGATGTGGTGTAGGAAAAGGTTCAGAGCTGGGAGGCCATGTGGCCAAATGACGAAAGTGTCATCCACATATCTCTTCCACAGGGAAGGTCTGAGGGTGGCTATCACTGGTGACAAGGGGGAACCCATGGGGGTACCCTCATTTTGTTTGTAGAAGGAGCCATTCCAAGTAAAGTAGGTATTGTTGAGGCAGTGCCTAACCAGTGCAGGTGTGTCGGGGTCTAGTCCATATTGGACCAAATTTTCAATTATTTCAATGGTATCAGGTACTGGGACCTTGGTGAACAAAGAGACCACATCGAAGCTGACAAGGATATCGTCAGGGGACAGTACAACGTCTTTGACCATAGAGACCAATTGGGCTGAGTTAAGTACTGCTGAGGTGGTCTTGCCAGTGAAAGGCAGCAAGGTATCTGACAGAAAACGGGCTATTCTATAGGTAGGGGAGTTGATCGTGGATACGATAGGTCGTAGTGGAGTGCCTTCTTTATGAATCTTGGGAAGACCATAGAATCTAGGGGGTCTTGCAGCAGAAGGTTTTAGGGAGGGACGTTTAGTTGGGTCGATTAGGGAGGTCGAACTTGTGATGATCTTGTTGGTTTTCATTGCTAGGCTATTAGTGGGGTCATTTTTTATTTTTGAGTAACTTCCATCGTTGAGCAGATTCTGAATTTTGTTGTTGTATGAATCTTTATCCATAATAACAGTAGCGTTTCCTTTATCGGCTGAGAGTATGTCTATATCACTTCTGTTTTTTTAAATT